GAAAAAGGTAACAGTGGAGCGATGGAGAGTGTTATAATTGAACACAAATAACCCTATCTCAAAAACCTCCACGTTTAAAGTCATCTATAAAATGAAAAGAAACCTCTTAAAGGCCATATATCTTAGTATTCTGTGTATCACCGAAGCTCTTACGATCAAAATGGAGAAGCCTGAACTGTGTACAGAATAAATTGTTCAACTTCCTCTCCTTTCATGGTCTTAGCTTTTGACACTATTTACTTCTTAAATAATTTGCTACTCTTTCTTTTCGCATTGCTTTGCCTGAGATCACAATTCAGTTTCCGATTATATCGTCGTCATGTCACGAAACTCCTTGTTCCAACTTATTTTGATTACTATTCACTACTCATCAGATTTCCATTTATTTATTATAATGACGGCCCATTTATTGACACTATTTGTGTTACCGTGCTTAACAAAGCGCTTTTAACTATCGAATTCTGACACTAGAAAATTGTATAAATTTGCGATTGTACAGCTTTGAAAATGAAATCGCCGAAAAGGGACTCTTCACTGAAATACTTACTTGTTCCTTCTTTCATATCCAGATGGATATATTTCACATATTGATATGCACCTCCTCCATTCTTATTTGATTTCATTATAGACGTACTTATAGAGGTCCCTGTCTACTTGTTTGACTCCATAGGAGACCCTTAAGTAGATCTACAGTACGTGGAAGACATAACGAGGTTAAGTGAAGATGCAGAGTCTACTGGACACCTTGAGTGGCAAGTTCAGAATGCTTGGGATACATTTCTCACCATCTAAATGCAAATTGTTGTTCTACGACTAGTCTTCGCTGGTGCCTTGTTTAATAATGAGTGAAATGGTTGGGTAGGTCGACTATCTCACTCATATAGGAAGTAGGATCAGTCACAGTGCGTTGGTCAGTAAGTGACAAACTCTCTGCATCGACAAAAAAGGCTCGGTTGGCTTTCACTAGCGACATGTCTGATTGTCTACCGAAGGTAGAGTGTACTGTGTTGCAGTTTGCTCTCTTCTAATATATGGCGGTTAGACATGGTCATTAAGTGAGGATATCAAAGGGTTTCAGGTATTTGATTACCGTCACTTTTGTTGTATAGGCCATGTGTCGTGGTGCCACCGTGTTAGTAGTGGACAAGTCAGGTGTTAAGTTTGAGGCAGAAGCAGGAAGTCATTTCATGAGTTTGTGAACCATTATTGACTCAGATGGCTGGGACACATTTATATTCACCACCAGGCCCATCATACAATCTTAGCTGACGTAGTGTTAGGCTACTAAAAGGTTAGATGTGAAGAGACTGAAGTATGGAATCAATCGATGAAGTATCTGTATGAAAATGGAGACATCCCGGTCGGGGTGGATGTGACAACGGAAACCAGTAGTTGAAGACTCTAGGTGATAAAACTTAGAATCAATATCAATGGCCCAGATGCATGCACATATTATCTTCATATCAATCATCATATTGAATGTCGTCGTCGTTTCGTTTTCTTTTCCTTCTACAGTCAACTGGACACCATGAGAAACAATTTCAGAATGCTTGAGATACCTTTCTCACCACCTAAATGTAAATTGTTGCTCCACGATTAGTCTTCACTGGTAACTTATTTAATAATAGTGAGTGAAGTGGTTTAGGAGACCGACTGTTTCATTTATATTGAAAGTAGGATCATCCTTGGTGGGTTTAGTCAGTGAGCGACAGAAGGTTTCATTGGCTTTCGCCATTCATAGCAACTGGCGAGATATTCAATTGTCTATTAGGGGTAGAGTGTACTAAGCTGCAGTCCGCGCAATAACCATCGCTTATAAATAGCAACTCCACCTGAGTTTTCTTTCCATAACAATAGTTAAGTTATTGGAAATTAGTACGATACATGCACTGAATCAGCGATTATTTTATGAACTCGATTCATCCCACCCCCCTTCGAATGGTAATCTAATTAACATGTTCTTTTTTTCGAGATGGTTATAAAAGTGAAATGGCATGCAATTAGCAACCTTTTGCCCAGATATTCGTAAAGTAGGGGGAAATTAAACCATACATCTCTTGTATGAAAGCTTGTGATATCACCAGACCTCAGTAGGGTGGAACAATGAGATAGAAACTATTAACTGACAAATATTAACATGTCCAAGTAGGTTTACGATAAATTCTGTGTAACATCGAACCATTCTCATTCCTTTTATTACTTGAATCTAAGAAGTTATTTGTATGAAATGTACATACAACAGCTTAAAAAGAATGAAGACTTACATAATTTATTTATGCTGTAGTTTAATTATAATTAAGTTGAATAGAAATTTATTTAATAAATAAGAGTATATCAATTTTCTACTGACAACTTTCAATGTCATCCTAACAGCTGATGAAACAACCAATCACGTTTCTATATTCTATGAAAAATTGACTTCATAGTCAAAATAACCTAAATCTGATTGGTTGTTTTAGTAGTTGTTAGGGTGGCCTTTAAAGTTAAATTAACAGAATGACATTGAGACTGTAACATAAAATCAGAGAATGATTTTCATCATATCATTAAGATCAATATAGAACCAGGCATTATTGAGTAACAGTCCAAGTTGCCACGTCTCATATAAATACATCAAGTAAGAAGTCAATAAAATGGAAAAAGACTGATTGAGCCATAGAAGAAATATATTCCTTTTCAATAAAGTCCATCTTCATCTTGCTCTCTACACTAATAATGTAGGTTTACAATTTAATCAAATTACCAATCATGTGGTGATATTTCGGAAATAATGATGTAAATAAAGACAAACTGCCTGATTCTGTCACTTCTATGTACATTTATCAATTCAACTGCTCCTATGGAGCGAGTTACATTGGATGTACAATGAGGCAGTTCCATCGTCGAATTTCTGAACACCACCCATCATGGTTGAACAAGGGACAAATTAGAACTATGAAGAGCTCCATACTTGCACACTTAGTTGACACAGGACATCAAGTGGTTACTGGAAAAGCCTTCAAAATCATCTATCAGATTCCAATTAATTCATCTCATGGATTACACACTTGCGCTTACTTCATATAGCACAGGCGATTACAATCCACCTTTATAAACCTAACCTTTGTATCCAAAAGACGTTTGTTCGAAAACTTTCATTACCGTGGCCAGTCAACATGATGTAACTTCTAGGTTTACTTTGTACACCTCTTCCCCTTCCTCTTGTTTCTATCAATATTCATATTTCCAATTTCAGTAACTCTATTGATTATTTACATCATTATTTCCGAAACATCACCACGTGTTTGGTAACCTGATTAAATCGTAAACCTATGTATTAGTGCAGAGCCCAAGATGAAGACGGACCTAATTGAAAAGGAATATATTTCTTTGCTCAATCAGTCTTTTTCTAAATGTCTAAATGGGAATATCCAATGTAATAAAATGGAAGACGAAGGTGGAAAGCAAATCGATCAAAAGAAGCAGAAGTAGTTAAAGAGAGAAAGGAAGAATGAGAAAATGATCAGACTAAGTATAGCGGTTGAGATGAGGATAATGTGTATGTACACATCTGCGCCACTGAAATCGGTTCTGAGCCATATCATGTACAGTCAGCCTCCAATCATGGCTTCTCTTGTTCCGCAGACCTTGACCAGCTACTCTGCATCGCCCTACATGGCTCTAGCCATCAGTCAAGAACTTCATGCATTGATGCCATGTTTTAATCTGGTTATCCGAGCCTTTTTCCAACCTGAACCGACTTCAGCCAACATTATTTGACGAGGTAGACGGCGACTATGCATACGTAACACATATCCCAGCTATCTCAGTGTTTTCATCACAAAAAGTATATTATCCAAGAGAATTATTGATATTCTCTTACATCGTAACTATTTCAGTAGTTTTACATCAACGGCTTTACATAGGATGGCATAGGCAATGTGGAGAGAATCCAACATTTAGTCGATGAATAGGAACTCAAGTGTCTTTATTTTTTAAACAAATTCACTCCTAGTCCTAGTGGTAAAAACATCGCTCACTGGGAAGCACGTACATGCAGCCGACAAGTCCCAAACAGGACGAAACACACATCCTACGTCCCGCTGCTAGCCACTATCTATCATTGATATAAGTTCACTCAGCCTGTTCTACATCATGTGATCTATTGATAAGTAGCGCTTCTCGGTTTCAACCTGCTTGAATTTGTATACATAAAGACTTTCATACTGAATAATAATTTATCATCGGATTAATCTTCATTTCCTAGGTAATGTCAGTGTAGAGCATCGGTTCAATTTGCCAAACTTCACAGTAGTATACAAAAAACAAGGGGATGGGATAAGAGTGATATCAAAGCAGACAAAGTTGTGAGGAAGAATAAGCAATTTGAAGATAACAGACAGTGCTTATATTCAAGATTTAAAAGACGTCAACGACTGAATACATCTGCGTCACTACGACCAATTTTCAACCATTTCAACAAGCGTCCTCAACCTTATCGCTTTAAGGATCCAAGCCAGGTAGTGCACATTTGTTTACATCACCCTTGAACCCTCTTCTAACCTAACCTCAACTTCCCTTAGCATTGCATATCAAAGTAGGGCGACAGCTTGGTATGTGCAGCACATATACAAGGCACACCAGTTGATGAAGGTTCACAACCTAACCAAGTGATCTTAACATTGTTCTTACGGTGATTCCACTATACTCAACCAATGTTCAAAACGTTGTAGCCGTTTAATGTCTTCTATTTTCAACGGCCTTTGTCTAGATTGGCTATGGGAATAATAACAACAATAATTATCGATAAGATTAAAGATGTAGTAAAAACAATTAACATATTGAACTGACCTTGCTTTTTTGATCTTCATAACTTAATACCTTTCGAGTTTGATCTGCATTGAAACGCATTAAAGTGCATAGCACCTTTGATAATGTCTATAAAGAAAGTCGAGAAAAGAAAAAATGCTTTCTATAATATAAAAATTGAGGTGGTTCTGTGTATAAATTAAACAATAATACTAATCATGATCTTTGATATATCGATCAATAGGCTTGATAATATTATAAAACATAAGTTCCATTAACAATATAGATATTTCTGATGATTGATTAGTTTTCCAACTGCTCATCTACGTTGGTAACAGAGTAACCGTTGAAAATCATGGGGACAAGATGACAAAGCATAATTCTATATTAAATTTGTTTATTTGATTTATAACGATGGCGAAAAAGAATAAGAAACAAGGAACTCTGGCTGGCAACGAACCAACCTACAACCTATCACTGAATAAATAGTCAGAAGAAAGTGGAGGTGGATTTGGCATACACTGAGAAGGTCGACTGGGGACATCACACATCAGGCCAGTTCCTCAAATGAAATCCAAAGAGAAACGACGAGTTGGGCGTCCGATGGTGACGATATGGAGGAGGAAATGAAAACTTATGGGCAGTCGTGGCACAGGGTTGAAAAGACTACAGAGAACAGAGGTGCAATGGAGCCGTGCTACTACAGCCCTATGTTCCACTAGGAACTCAAGGGAAAAATAAAAACTAAATTTGATTTATTACACACAGTGAGTGATCCAGTATTATTCACTGGACAACGTTCCAACCATAAAGTTGTTGCTCATAGTCATATCAGTGTGATCACCCTACTTTCGACATCCGCTTTTTATATTCCTGTCATCCATCTCCTATTCTTTGTTTTTTATTGGTAGTAAAATTTTCCATATAACTGGAATAGGTGTTGCATCATTTCCGTTACATGTGTTGGGTGTCTGCTGATTCGATGAACAAGGACTCCTGGCTAATGGAGCCAGTTTTAAAAGATTGCAGAGAACAAAGTGGAATGGAGACATGCTACTGAAGTCCTATGTTCCACTAAGAACCCAAAGGACAAATAATAAATAAATAATATCTCTCCACCTAATTATATTGAACTTGAGTACAGTGGCTTTATCCAACCCAACCTATTGTGTGATTGTGTGTTAATGCATGTATTGTACTGATCTTACTCGGGTTTGTCATTCGATATTTAGCTAAATTCCTATGATCGTCTATTGTAACTGACCCCCACCGGCGAGTTTCACCTATGTACTCGACCTTGTAGTCATTGTATGGGATTTGATAGATTAGATTATTTTGCTAAATTGGTTCTATCAGATCCTTAAACCAGCCGACAAACTTTATCTCTGAACGACCCTAATTCCAGCTTTGTTGACGATCTTACATAAAGTTTTTGATTTAACTTCTTCATAGGGTAACACAATCGAGGCTGTGAACTCCTTTCTACTCGTATTGTCGTTATTATTCATACTCGTGTCATTGTTATTATTTCGTTTCTTTTATGTGTTCGTACGAATTTCTTAATAAACTGCAGAGGATAATTATTAACTATTAGTCCAATAAAAATAAGGTGGAGAGATAGAGAGATTGGTTATTGAATCTTTGTTCATTGAATCAGCTAACATCCAATACATGTAACAGGAATGATGCAACACCTCTATACCAGAGATATGAAAAACTTCACTACCAATAAAACAAAGAATAAGATATGGGTGATACGACAATAAAAATCAGACGTCGAAGGTGGAGTGTGATTACACACACTGATGATAATGAGCAGTGATAATTTATGCTCGAAACGTCATCCAGTGAATAATACTGTATCACTGTGCGCTGTATATAAAATGAACAAATCTAGTATAGAGTTACATTCACTACAGTGCCCAAGTTTTACACTTATACAAAGTATAATCTTTTACACAAAAATGTTATGAACTAACGAAATATGCTATTGAACAACTAAAGAGCTTAGAAATCACATATTTAGTTTGGTCTGTAGGTTTTCACCGAGAATCCTATGAACACCACGATCTAACAATTGAAAAATTATTCAACTTATGAGAAATATGAACGGCTGTAAGATTTCTAAGCGAAAAGCATAGAAATCGACTTAGAAGTAGTATTCATCATGGACTGACATCGGTTAGGGAACCATTGGAAATCTGGGATCACTGGACAGCTGTTTCGTCCTAGTATGGGACTCCTCAACAGTACGCACCCACGACCTAACTAAGGGTCGAACTCAGGACCTTCAGGTTTCAATGCGAACGCGCTAACCATTCAGCCACTGGGTCGGTTTCCAGTGGTTCACAATTTCCAACTTCTATCAATGCACGACATAGCGTGACTGTCATCCAAGGTCTTCGGTTAGCATCCACTTCACTTCCGACTGGTTGATCCGCCAGGTCACGGCTTCTCATTAGAACTTTTTGACATCCATCTGGAAGCAAGTCACTAATGAACACTAAGAATCCCCATTCATCTCAAAAATACATTACTCTATAGTGCTCATTTCCATTGCATGTATTTGGTGTTGATGTTGATTCGATGAACGAATATTCGGTTACCAATCTCTCTCTCCCTCCACCCAACTAAGTTGGTTGTCGACACTGTCACTCTATCCCACCCTACTGTGTGATTGTGTGTGATTGCGTACACAGCTATAGCCATGCTTTTCTCTAAATGTCTTACCTTATTAGGATCTACTAATCTTGATTCAGCTAGGTTTTTGCGCTCTGTCATTCTAATCAACCCAGGTCGACCACTCTGACCTATGTATTCGACCTCGCAATCATTGCAAGGGATTCGGTTAACCAGATTATTTTGTTCAGTTGCATCGATAAGGTCTTTTAATCTACAAAGCTTGTCTGTAAGTGAGTTTGTTGGTTTCAATGTCACTTTCTTCACAGCCAGCCTTATTGAGAATTCTTCGTAATCCTTCTGAGGTGCTTTCCTTGTATGATAACACAGCAGAGGCTTTGAATTCTCTCTCCACCCTGTCACCATTATCACTATTAGTCATAGAATTATTATTAGTAATACCTGTATTATTACTACTCATAGTACTACTGTTATTATTTTTCTTTCGATTTCTTATGGATTTATTTATAAATTTCGGTGGGTAGTTATTGAGACGGAACGTATTCTTGATGTATCTTATTTATTGTTGTAGATTTTCCGGTCTACTAGTAAGTTATTTCGTCCTATCACTTAGGCATTTAACTAATCCTACTTTAACTGAGATGGGATGGGAGGATTCGAAGTCTAAGTAGCGATTGGAATAGGCAGGTTCCTCACAAACACTAATCTCTAAACTCCCGTCTTCTGTTAGTTTAATCAAAGCAAATGAGGTCAATCAAGTACATAGGTCAAAGTAGTCGACCAGGATTGGTTAGAATAACAAAGTACAAAAACTTAGCTTTATCAAGATTAGTAGGTCCTAATAAGATAAGAAATCTAGAGAAAAGCTCAACTATAGTTCTGTATACGATGACACACAATCACATAGTAGGGTAGGATAGGGTGACAGTGGTTGAAAACTAACTTAGTTGGATAGAGGGAGAGAGAGATTGATAACCAAATCTGTTTTAATCGAATCAATACCAAATACACACATTAATAGAAATGATTCTGCTCCTGTCTCAGATATATCGAACATTCTACTACTCTTATCATCACAGAGAAGGAGAGGAAATTAGGAATATACAAAGTCTGTCTCGAAGTTGTAGAGTTACCTGATATGAATATGGACAATAAATTGTGTCCATAGTGTAATCCAGTAAATGCTACTGTTCCCTCACAGTGTGATATTTTTAATAAACAGACTAAAATGGAATTACAATCGGCCATAGTGCCCAAGTTTTACACTTATATTAACATACAAATCGATTATTCAATTCAAGGCATAACAGTCCTCATCCAACTTCGTCAATTCAACTGGTGTAAGCTGAACTCATCTGAGTATATTGAGGAAGGTACCAACTCAGAATGAATAAAACATCCACTTAATGTTTAAACCTTTCTGATTCAGTTAGTGAAATCTATAGATTAAAATGAGTAGTTGTTTCTAATGAATGTTAGTAAAATGCCCTAATGGTTATAATATATATCATAAAGCTGCATGTTAAAAATTTCACAAACTTGAGTTTCACGTCCTTGCATATACTCGAACAGAACATTCTTCAAATACTATGAAAAAAGAGATAAATATCAAAAGAAACGAATAAATTAGTAGAAAGTAAAGCATTCTATTACGTAATAGACATTAAAAATAGGCTTCGTATTTTGTGCGCAATGAGTTTATAATTCTATCCCATTAAACAGGTTGATGCGAAGTGGTTTGATTGGAATATAGAACTAAATTTATTGGAAGTCAAGCGTTTAAAACAAAAAGGTGTATACCTCATTCAATCAGTTGTATAAGAAGTTACGAATCGAGTTAGGCTCCCCCTCTTTATATCCTTGATTTGAACCCTTTCTCGCCCTCCCCCTCCACCAACTAAACTTGTACTGCTAATGAATAAAAGTAAAACGTGAATTCGTATTGTCAAGGTGATATTACCTTAGAACAGCAGTCGTCTAGGCTCAGTTTAATGTTTTCAGTGGCATTGTGTTCTCTCCACTGGATCGTTTAAATCATGAAATTTTCATCGCCATTCTAGGCAAGACCATCAGCATTAACTTCAGTTGGGTGTGATTAATTGTTGCTGCTAAAATCTTGTCACTGTCTGCATACGTATTTCTATAGGTCATCCTGCCGATGCGAACCTTAACCTTCTTAGTTCTTGTAATTTGTTGACAGATTAGGTCAGTGTCAATATATCTATTGATCGCTGACTAATCTGAATGCGATGCTTCTAAAAATTCTTCTGCCTTCTTTATACTTCCCCTATTCAGGATTACCATATTTTCCCAGTTGAATTCATGTCTACAATTTTCTTTGCATATTCATATGAGCGAAAATATGATGTTACGCTTCATTACTAGATGAGAAGGCGACAATTTTAGTCTGTTAATTTGCAATGTCACACAGTGAAGGAACAGCATAACTTACTGGATAACGTTTCGAACACAATTTATTCTCCACATTCATGTCAAGTAACTCCACAACTTCGAGACAGACTTTATATATTCCTAATTTTCTCTGCTTCTCTGTGATGAGAAGAGTAGTAGAATTTTCCATATATCTGGGACAGGTGGAGCATGGTAATTTAATCCACCCTATCACCTAGGCATTTAACTAAGCCTACTTTAACTGAGAAAGCGTGAGGTGTTTCGAAGTCTAAGTAACTATTCGAATGGGTAGGTTTCCTATAGACACTAGTCTCTTGTGTTCTTTTAATCTTGCAATCTAACATTGCTAGCTCACCTTCTTCACTTTCTAAGTCACAGGTAAACTAGATATCATTCACTACTGAATTTATATATGTCAAGAACCTATTGATATGTTCCGATTTTAGTACTGTAAATGTGTTATCTACATATCGAAACCATATCATTACAGTAGGACTAAATGTTTGAAGGGTTATCTGTTCCCAGCTATCCATAAATATGTCTGCGACGATAAGGGGACATTGGTGATCTCATGTCAACACCTTCAGTTTGTTCATACATTTTATTTTGAAAATTATCTAGTGAATGATACTGCTCTTTCACTGTGTGATATTTCTAATAAACAGACTAAAATAGAATTACAGTCTACCATAGTTCCCAAGTTTTAATCCTATTTTAAAGAAGGGGACCACTTGATCTATGACATAGTGCTTTTCACAGTTCCTGGAGTTTATTTTGTCAGCAAATTTTCACTTGTCTTCCTTAGCTAGCGTATCTTTTGGGATGTATAATATAGAGTGAGGAGCTTTTGTCATCTTGTAAACTACACCGACGTCAAAAAGACTTATATAATCTAATTGCAATCTCGTAGACATTCATCATGTCAGGTAAGACAATCCGTTTGTTTGAGAGCGGATTAGACAGAAACGTTTTCATGAAGTTGGTTGGATAGTCTTCCTTTTGAGAGAAAATTATCCAAAATACTTCTTCTTTTCACCATAAGGCTGATATACTACATCATGTCTTCGATCTTATGAACAATGTTTTTATACAATTGATTTTATGTGTTGTTCGATTGGTGCCTGGATTTATGTAATCGTATCATGAGTAAAGTTGAAAGAGCACTTGACATCACAATGGAATTCAAATGGGTGGTTTTTGGATATTAGCCAACAAAATTGAATCAAGAATATTTCACTCTTTAATATCAATTCATTCCTTAATCATTGACCTATTGTAAGCGTTTCAGCTTAATTATCACCACTATACAATTCTTTGACAACACTTGTTGCTTATCTCATCACTTGTTATCCATTCGTTCCTCCTTATTCAATGACCCATTTTCTATCTCTTCCACTTGAAAAAATACCACCCACCTACACCGATTGTATATTTTACATATTGACTAAGCAACTCCCTTTTTAGTTCAATTATCTTTCACTTTACCGAGTATAAATACTACTGTACAGCTTGATAATGAAGTCGTTGAAAAGAAATGCTTCTTCTTTGCTGATACATGCCTTGTTCAAGAATAAGTGAAAAACTGAAGTCAATCAATTAATCCCCACTAATTGAATGACTGTTCACTGTTCAGAGTACTGACTTCCTTCAAAATGGATTTCTCGACATTTTAATGAGAAGCTTTAACTTTTGAGGTCAACCAACTAGAAAGTGAGGATAGATACTCGCTGATAGTGCTGAACGATAGTCACGATATAAAAGCAAACTGATAGATAGAGAAATATATGAATTACTGTATCCTTATCCGGTGGTAGGATGGTATGATGCTCACCAAGAAACCTGAAAATCCTTTGCTCAGTTCCTCATAGGAATGTGAGTGCACATTACTTGTTACACCTAGTTGTAACTATGATCAAAACAGGTTTAAAAATTACTGGCTAGTTGACTAACTATTAGTCAAGGTGATCAAATTGAATATTTTAATATCCAATATCATAACTATCAACTCATCACGATTGAATGGTGTCCATCTCAAGACCTGAGTAAATGAAACCCCACAAAACCAAACTGCTGGTTAACATAGTTGTGAATATATATTTCAATGATTGGAAGATTTCAGTAAATTAATGAAATATAACCACAATATCTGATTATGGGTAACCTCGCCTGGTTAACTAGTTTACTAGTTACTAGCCCGTCCTAAGCCCGGGTAAAGAGGGAAGGTTGGGCATAGGGCTAGCAACCCTACACCGGAAAACAAATCTAACCGCTAAACAAACTTCAAAGCACAAACAAAATATAAAAAATGAAAACAAACTTATTCCCCGCTGGAATCGGAGAGGCGAAATGACGCCAGTTGGTGAAAGCCTTCAGGAAGCCAATTGGCCGATGTGTCTTCTCTCGATGAAAGCGAAAGTAAACGTGGGGACATGGAATGTCCGCACGATGTTTGAACCCAGTAAGGCAGCCCAGATTGCAAAGGAGATGAGAAGGTATCACATCGAAGTGCTTGGGATTTGCGAAAGCAGATGGAATGGGAGTGGACTCTCCAAACTGTCAACTGGAGAATCAATAATCTACTCCGGTCACCCAGACGCCAACCACGAGCACACTGAGGGAGTGGCTATCATGATGTCCTCAAGAGCATCGAAGGCTCTCATACAGTGGGAACCAATCTCCTCCAGGATCATGACAGCAAGATTCAACTCAAAAGGAAGAAGTGGACATGGATTGGCCATGCACTGAGAAGGCCGACTGAGGATATCATGCGTCAGGCCCTCGAGTGGAATCCCCATGGGAAGCGACGAGTTGGACGTCCAAGGGTGACATGGAGGAGGTCGTGCGAGGAGGAAATGAGAGCTTCTGGGCTGTCGTGGGACCAGGTTCAAAAGATCTCAGAGAACAGAGGTCACTGGAGGCGTGCTACTGAAGCCCTATGTTCCACTAGGAACCCAAGGGACTAATAATAAAAAATAATAATAAAATCTGATTATGGACTTGCAGTATTTAATTGGATAAGAAAGTTGATATATGAAATTTCAAAGAGGTTAAATAGTTAAATAAAACTAAAATACAAGTTACTGATTACTCTTTTAGGTCGTATACAGAGAAAATTCACGTAGTTACATTAACTGATATATTGATTCAATCAATCAGTGGAAAACGGCTACAATTCCTGTGTAGTGAGAATTGAACAATGAATATACGAAACTCTCTTACCAACCACTTGGATTTTCATGCACTCGAAAATTAGTTGCATATATTGTAAGAAAGCTGGTAATACTACCATGCTTCCAAAACTTTATTGTACAGGGCAGGGGTTCGAATAGGCGGTTCATTCGTTGAAATTTGAGCGTCTAGACCAGTAACCGGTAGCTCCACTAGTTAGAACATCTAAATGTCATCATATGTAACAATATAGGACTAGGCATTATTGCATTACGATTAAAGATGTTACATCTCATATCAGTAAAACAAGTAAAAAAAAATCAATAAGGAAGATAAAGGGAGAAAAAATCGACCGAAAGCAATAAGAGAGAGAACTAGGAGGATGAAGGTAATATATGGGCAAATCTGCACCACTACCATCGATTTTGAAGCGTATCAACATACAGTCTCCAGCCACCTATTCTTCTTATCACGTGGGACCCCAACCGGTTAGTCTTCGTCAACCTACATGGCTCAGACCAACAGTCAAGGACTTCATGGATTGATAGCATGTTTTGATCTGACCGCCAGAACCTATTTCAACCAATATTGCGAGACGGTGTCTAGGAGGCATGCGTAACACATGTCCTAACCATCTCAGTCGATGAAGGTTTAAAAATGACGTCCAAATGTATATCTTTACTACGTAGAAAGATAATGGAGATGGATTGAACACACACAGAAAAAACCCTTTAGGGACATCACACGCCAGGCCAGGTCCTCGAGTAGAATCTAAATAAGAAACGACGAATTGGGTGTCTGAGTCGAGGGTGACATGGAGGAGATCGTATGAGGAAGAAATGGAAGCTTATGGGCAATCGTGCAGCCAGATTCAAAAGACTGTAGAGAAGAAAGTGAAATAGAGACATCCTACTGAAGCCCTGTGTTACTCTAGGAACCTAAGGGATAAATAATAACAATAATAATACTATGTAGCATTTATGAATCAGAAAAAGTAATCACTTAATGAACAAACAAAAAGGGCCTACTTCATATTCAACGAGTTCATGTAGTCGATTTTCACTTGGACTAAATGCAGCATTGTATTGATGATGATGATGATAATCTTTTTGCATTGAATTCAACAGAATACTTGAATGAGATGACTGTAGCATACTATCATTTGTATGAATATGCAATGATTTAGATAAAGAATTGGTATGCTCTGTAAACTCTTTACCACAAGTACCTAAGCATTTTGATCGTAATGCTTCAAAATCAGCTGATAACTGTTGTAATTGATTCTGTAAGGAGAAAAAAAACAAACAAATTCATGAGGCTAGGCGTTATTACACACACACACACACACACACACACACACACACCTATACAGAAATGATAAAAGACAGTCAATGTTTAGTGGAGCTATAGTGGATTAGTGATGGACTTTCAATCGATAAGTTATGAGTTCGAAGCCAACTCCACCTAACGATATCTCAACAGCCAAATAGTATCATTAACAGCCCGTATACACCAAGTGTGGCTTATTGTTAAATGCATAAGTATACATATGATAGTTGAGAATATTTCCCAAGGTAGTCACTGTGGCCAAGTGTAAATAATTGTTTATTACTCACAGATTGACTCATCACTGAGTGCTAAACGAATCCAATCGATTATTTTGCTAAGGAGCTTATCATTGTGGTGTACTTTAATGAATATTAGTTAATTGGAGGCATTCGGCAGGAGCTTCTGCTTGACCTAGGTTTCATGGTTCTTGGCAATTGCTAGCAAGGCGCATCTGCAAACTCAAGGGAATTAATGTCTATTATGAAGTTAGAATACATCTCATCAAACGTTGCAGTCAGCAACTTTATCAGTAAGTCATTCAAGCATGACTGTAACAGTATTCTTCCGAAAAAAGTTGAATGTTACATTACTTTCAAAAATGGTCATTAGTAGGACAATAAATATCTTGGGGGACTTGGAAGCTATTTTGTTCCACTATGGGATTCCTTTCAGTACTATGTAAATACAACGTTGTGATTCATCGATTTCATTATTATCACACTTCTTAGCAACCATGCTACCATTCGGTTCTTTACATTTTACTTTTTTTTATCAATCCACCATATACAGTGACCATTAGTCAATACGATCCAGGGGTATTTGTCTTCATATTCCAATTGATGACCCAATAAGTCACAGGTTTTGGTGAGAACTGGAAAGTTCATCTGGAAATAAGTAACTACTTAGCACTAGACAGTTAATCAACAGGAAGTGTGATGTATCAGTTTGTATGCACAATGTATTATTCAAGGATGCTTAGAATTGGTTAGTTGGTGGATATTGTACTAAATAATGGAAATTTATGCTCATTATACTTTCTCTAGAGTGAGAATGAAAGTGTCACGATTAAACTAGTCAACACTGTTACAAATATTCCCCAATACATTAAAATTCTATGAGTGGTGGAGTTATGAATATGAATGAGCTTCATTTTGAAAAGATAATCCTAACCCTAACCTGTAAACTAATCTAGGCATTACTAAGCAGTTGGTCTTGGATAACTATCAGCGACTTTTTAGTGAAAAGTAGGAGATAAGTTTAGTTAAACAGTATACTTCATTATTATGGTATTTGAATTTGTCAAAGAATTGAAAATGAAGTAAATTTGTTTTAACTAACGTTTCGCTATTTAATGAGAATACCTTTACCAAAGTTGTTATTATGATTGATTATTTTTCCCTTGGGTTCCTAGTGGAACATAGGGCTTCAGTACTACGCCTCCATTGCACTCTGTTCTCTGCAGTCTTTTCAACCTGCATCCACCACTGCCCAACACGTCGTTTCGCCATTGAATTCCACTCGAGGAACTGGCATGGCGCGTGATGTCCCTAATCGGCCTTCTCAGTGTATGCCCAAATCCATCTCCACTTCCTTCTGCATAGTTTTTAAGTAATAGGTTCTTGGTTGGTTCGTTGCCAGCTGGAGTGAGTTCCTTGCTGCTTATTCTTTCCGGTCATCTGATCCTCAGTATCCAGTGAGCGTGGGCGGCAGCTGTTGATGAATGTCTGTAGTTTGTTGGAAATGCTTTTCGTGACACGCCAAGTTTCTGAACCACATAGAAGTACTGACTTGACTGAATTGGTTTCGAAAATCCGGATTTTGTTCACGCTCCTTTTGCCAAGTGCAGTCGATCTCCACACTGATTTCAGGTTAATGAAAGCCTGTCTTGCTGTCTTTCCGATCCTGGTTTTGACATCCTCATCTGTGTCGCCCGCTACTTGTAGTTGAAACGATGCTGCCACGCCTAGAAAGGTGAAAGAGACTACTTCCTCTAGGTTTCTCCCGTTCATGGTGATTGGTGCTTGTTGCTGACGCTGCTGTTGGTTGGATATCTTCGTTATCTTCATTTACATTCACTTGAAATCCCGTCTTTGCTGCCCTGCCTCTTCTGTCAACTTGTTAGTTTTCTTCTGTAGATCTTCGAGTTTGTGCGACATTCAACATAAATCATCGGCGAAATCCAAATCTTCTAGTCTCTTTTCATCGGTCAACACAGCGTATGCCCATCTTCTCGCCCCTCAGGGTTTGCTGTATGATCCAGTCCACCACAATAAGGAAGATCATCGGTGATAGTAGGCAGCCTTGTTTTACTCCTGTCTTCACTTCAAAGGTGTCACTGAGCTTCCCATTGTGGACCACTTGGCATGTGACGTCGTCATATAGCTGCTGAATGAGTACCAAAGTTATAGTAAACCGGAATTCACAATTTCCTGCAAGCATATGCAAGATAACTTGATCTATGTTATTCCGCATAAATGATTTGCGATACCTGGTGTTTTCCTCGGGTGACCAGAAGTGCTACGCTGATACTGCCTTCTCAACGGGAAGGGGCGGGAGTTAGAAAAGGTCGACCTCACAAAATAACACATTTCACCATACTCTACAGTTTCCCCGTGCCTGTGGAATGGGTTCTCTATATTCAGTTTTAAAATAATCAAACCTAGAAACAACAACTCACAAGAGGCTGTGAGTGAAAGATCTCAAGCAGATGTCTCATGGACTCTGCGGCCACACGATTCTTTTTCTCTTTCAGGTGCTTTAAGAAGAAATAGCTTTCGACGACGAGGGGAGCCGGAAAGTGTCAACTGCCTGCCGACCTCCAGTAGTACACAAAATTAAATTACGCAAGACCTATCCTCTTCAACTCTGTCTCCTCCTCCTCTGCCCTCACCTCCTGATGCCAATATTAAAGATCTTAAACCTTACCCAACCTGTCACTCTGCAACCACTGTTAACGATCTAAGCCATCAAAACCCCATTCGTAGTCTCCAATAACCCTGCCATCGACTTCAAGTAGGGGCTTTCAACATCCGAACTATATGCCTAATCCGAAAGCAAGCATCGCTCGCCAGAATTCTAGAATCTTTAGCCATGGATGTATGCTGTGTCTCTGAGACACGTATACAGGACCCGAGTGTGGTTATAAAATTGACCTCACCTGACCATAGTAGTGAATCTTCAAGTATCATCTTTAGGAGAGTATCCGGAGACCTAATTGTTAGCTCTCGTAGTCTCGCTGGTGTCGGTATAGGATTGGTTGGTAGAGCAGAAAGTGTGCTTTTTGACTAGATTCCAAGCAACAAATGTATATGTGCTGTCCAACTGAATAGATTTGTAAGCACTAATAAGGATCGTGAGAATAGGCAACGCCTATTCGTAATCCCCATCTAAGCACGCACCGACTGTAGTTCAGATGATGCAAAGGATGAATTCAATAAGAAGCTGTTAACTTTTCTACAGAAAGCAAAACGTTCAGATGTAATCATCATGACAGGTGACCTTAACCTTCAAGAAGGGAAGCTGAGTATATCGGAAAAGCACCTTTAGGCTGTTTGAAGAATCCTATGCAAACGAACCGACAACGGTGATCGTCTGTTGCAATTTTGCTCCGAAAATCACTTGTTTTTGTCCAGCACCAACTTTATGCATAAAGAGACAATGTCTCACATGGCGCCCGTTGATTTCAAAGAAACGATAGGAACAGATAGATCATATTGTTAAAAGTCAACCATCTTTGGAAGGGCAACAAACTCAATTAACTTATCACCAACCCATTCAATTTGAAACATCCATTTCTGCTCTTTGCATTACCATTGGACCTGTTGTTACACCTAAATCCATCTCAGTCTACGTTAAATATGTATGTATGCTATTTTGCATTGTTTAACGGTACATATCATCATCATAAAATCCTGCTTTGTTTCCCCCTCCCCCCCCCCCTATGATCCCCAGCATCTAACTGACAACCATTTCTAAAAGTTACTATGAAACGTCTTTAGATAACCAGGAAAACAGAAAAAGTGCATTTAACTTATTCACTTTATCCAATTAGTGATAACACTTTAATGGGGTTATATAACAAAATAAAACATTGTTATACTTACTTGAAGATCAGTATTATGCAACTCGAGAGCTTCATAATCACGAATAGGAACAGATGTAGGATATCGATTTTGACGTAGTGCTGGATGTCTAAAAATTAAAACATAAAATAACTATTCTATACAGTTAAAAGAATTATTTTTTTCGCCTGTTTTTACTAGAAAAAAAAACGTGTGAGTGCCAAAAATGAGTTTTACAAAAGATAACAGGACTATCTAAGACATACAGTTGACTAGTTATAACTGTATTGAAAAGAAATAGAGTAGTTTACAACAAAATAATGAGGTCTGATAGGAAGTAACCTAAATGGTAATCAACAGTTTTAGATATCCGTCGTTAAGATAAGAGTTCTCGATCTCTATTTTTGTTTTATATTACTGTGTGGTCTAGAAAAAAAAGACTTTATTGAACAATTTATCCTACAACTGACCAATCAAACTTTTGACTTAATGATATTAACTATTCATGAAAACTGAAATTGGCTTTTTGTTGAATAAAGTCCCTTCCTTACAATCACAGGTCTGTCTTTGCCTCCTGATTTTCATGGCTCAGTGAAGTATAAGGTACTAAACAATAACATTCAGTATTTTTAACCATTCCAAGTGTTTCATCGCGTTAACATCATCTACATATTTCTTATCATTCAGTTGGTTACTTCAAGTTCATATATATATATATATATATATATATATATATATATATATATACATCAGACATAAGTATATCAAGACGAATACACAGAAGTGAATCGGTTCAACTTGCCACACTTTACAACAAGAGCATAATAATAATACATGGATAGGAGAGGAATAGCATTAGGATACACATAAAGGCTTGGATGTAGAGTGAAAATATACTGAGACTTAGGAGATGAAAAAATGTTTAAACATATACACCACTGTGACCAAGTTTTGATCATCAACATGATTTACACCAACGGTTAGAAACTTCATAGACTGGTGTCGCTTCTTGGTTTTATTACTTTGAGCCTTTTAACAACTTAAACCTACTTCTGAATAAGCATTGCTAGTCACTGTCAGTATGTGCAACACACATTGAAGTCACTTCAGTCGGTACGGGTTTCTAACTTTAGTTACCTTCGCCTAACTCTCAACATTGTTCATATAGTGATTCAATCGCATACGAGTAATGCTATGCAGACACCCGTGATGAAAAAATTGTAAGCACTACATATCTTCTCCTTTTGATAACCATGTCTCACAGTCGTGTAACAGGAAACAGCGGATGACAGCGTAGTAAACTAACCCCTTAAGTAAGTAGTCAGACATATCACTAGTCAGTGCCACAGATAACAAACGGGCCTTCTGTATCCAAGCAGAGATTTCATCAGTAACCAGCCCATCGGGCTGATGTAAATGAAGTAAATGAAGTGGTCGACATATTCCCTAATGATATGGCTGAAAACCTGTGACAGTAGTGCAGATGTATTCACTCTTTGATTTATTCTGAAGCTTGAATATTTTCCCTAACTTCCCTTTTCCTATACACCTTTTAGTATTTTGATATCAGTCTTTCCTATTCATTTCTTCTTTGTAAACTACTTTGAAGTGTGGCAGGTTCGTCCGATGCACTCATATGAGAGCTTCTACGTTGATTTTGTCTATCTATCTGACTACACCTTCTTAACCTTATATGGTAATATGACTTTTGATTATTTCCCTGAAGAAGAGTTGTATGCGCAACGATGGAATTATTTATTTCAAACGCGCTGAGATCCATGTAAAGTGAGTTGTTCTCTGATCTAGAGTTTCAATTAGCAGACGTTTTATTGTCATACTAGACATAGGTATTAGTGCATCACAAGAAAGTGAAGTGATTGGTTAAACATAGACAATTATAAGGTACTGATTTGCTTGATTGGTCGCTTGGTAAGTACGTGGGCGTACGACGGACCTGATTGGTTGACCTTCTCTTTATAGTTTTCTCACAAGTGTGTTGAACCACGGAAATATATATTATTATGACTTACATATATCATAAACAATCACATTAAAGATTTTATTGGTAACATTTACTGAGTAAAGAATCATGTTTTTACAACTTACAAAGTATCGATTGAATCTGAATGAAGAATATCTTGACGTAATTTTTCAATCCAATCATCGTATGCATCAATAGAACTGCGTGAATTGTTTATTCTAGAGGAAGTATCCAATTGATTTTTACCATTATGTACCTGTAAGAGAAGAAAGTCAACTTGACCAAAACAATTCATCTACTTCAGACTATTTTCTGTAAAACAAAAAGAAAATCATATACAAAAGCATCTGATATAGTAGAGATTGTGTAGAAAGTTGTGTTCTTCAACCTTCTAGATGAGAACAGTAACTAATTTCAGAAAATGGTCGAAACCATTCCATTATACCGCCAATAATATCGATGAAACAATGTTTCAGATAAATGATTAACTAACTAATAACTTTCTAAGATGTCTATATATAACATTTGAGAGGATGGTTTTGGGTCTACTGTAGCATTTCTTTAATATTATTGACGATACTACTTATAAGTAACTCATTTTTCTAAAGTACAATTTCTCTACTCTGGATCCGCAATTTTTTCTCATATTTTGCTGGTTGACGTGATATCCTGAATTTTTTACTTCACTAGTCCCTATTGAATATTAAAAAAATACGATTACAAGAAAAAAAAGTTCTATGAAATACACTACTGAACAACTTGAGTAGTAAGAAACCACTCAAGTCGACCTGGCTGACGAAATCTGTCGCAGTTTTTAACTACTTAATTTATTCAGTGATCATCATCATTATCAAGATGAACATAGGACCTATATCATTACTGCGTAACGGTTCAAGTTGCCACACCTCATATCAGCACATTAAGTAACAAGCCAATAAAATGAAAGACGAAAGAGGAATGAAAAATTGGTCAAAAGAAGCAGAAAGTAGTAAAAAGAGGAAGGAAGCATGAGAAAATGATGCGATCTAGTATAGCGATTAAGATGAGGATAACGTATGTATGCATCTGCACCAAAGATATGGATTCTCAGCCAGACCACCCAGAAACAGTCTCCAACTATTGGTTTTTCTTGTACCGTGAACCTCAACCAGCTAGTCTGCATCGCTCCACTTTGCTCAAACCAACAGTCCAGGACTGCATGCATTGGTGACAGGTTTTAGTCTGGCGGCCCCCAGCATTTTTCCAGCTCCAGTCTACCTCGGTAAACATTGTACGACTAGGCAGACGGTGGATAGGCATGCATAGCACATGTCCCAGTTATCCTAGTCGATTAAGGTTCACAACCGCAGCAACTGACACAGCCCTCTTGCCTAAAGTCATGACAAAAAGCTGATACCTTGACTTGGTGGTCGGGCTTGTATATCATGATAACCCAACGACCTATGCTGGTGGGACGCTTGTTTCCTCGAGGTCCTAACATACTAGAAAGATCTGTTGGATAGTGATTAGACAAAAAGCAATTACCCTTACTCTTAACATTTTCTTAAACAATGAAATAATGTATTATGATCCCTTACATCAGTGGTGATCCAAGACCACAGGATGTATGTCTGACCACACCTTCCATAATTTACTCAGTAGTATATTTCGTTAGTTCATGACACTGTATAAAAGATGACACCTTGCCATGTTCGTTGATGGGTGGTTCCCAACGGAAACCCTGTTGACACCATGGTTGATCAGCTGAAAAACTAGTCAGCTATGAGAAATACTAAGGTGAGCCGTGAAATTTATAAATCGCTAACAAATTGATCATCCTACAACAAACAAGAATTGAATTTCCGAACAGGTAGGTGTTCGTCTGAACTGATAAATCGATATAGCGCGGAGTAGACTGTAACTGGCAGAGAAATCATATAAGTTGAAGAAATCGTGGTCAGACGAACAACTTCAAAACTGTTTGAACTGCAGTTCGCTTGCGGACTGGTTACCATCCAGTGATTAATCAATGTACCTTATCCAGTTTGACAGCAGGTGGCCCAGGGCCAGAATAGTTCAGTGGTAACGTCGCTGACTACAGCACTCGATGGGACCTCAGATGGGACATCATTTTCATTGAAGTTGCAGATACACCTTGCTGACGAGTGCCAAAACGCATGAAACCTAGGTGACGCAAAACTTTCTGTTGCTTTCCTACGTCTGATTAACATCTAATGGTGAGTTTTTACCGTCAGTTATGAATTCGAGATGAAGTCAACAATGAATATTGAAGTTTTTAGTAATATCCAAGTCGCTAAGCATATAGAGGGCATATATCGTGAGCTAACAGAAGTTGGAAATATGGAGCATTGGATTCTGTCTGACGCAGTGGCTCAACGGTAAAGCGCTGGCCGCGGAACCTGAAGGTCACGGGTTCGGTACCTGGCGTGGTCGTGAGTGAGCACTGCTGAGGAGTCCCATACTAGAACGAAACTGCTGTCCAGTGCTCCCAGGTTTCCTTTGTTCTTCCAACTGATGTCAATCTATGATAAATAACAACTTGAAATATAGAGAATAGTATTTTTACTAATCGAATGGTATATAACGAAATTAAAGAAACAAAATAATCATTATGTTTTTGAAAGAGCAAAGAAAGAAAAAACCTACACTGTTTGCACATGAATTAGCTTCCTCATCAGTGAAATTCTTATCAGGTATTAGATCACATTGTACATCAACATCATGACGTGAAATAATCGATGAAGTTGAGAATGTAGAATTCATCTTACTTTGATATTTTGCTTCAATTATATTCACTTCATCTTTAGTACGCTTTAAAATAAACAAAATCATAATGAATCAATTAAACATATATGCTAGAGGAAATGTTTTACATACAATTGATTTGATAGACATTTGTTTCGAACAAAACATACTTTATCAATGGACATGTATTATTGAAACTTGGATGATGACAGACAGGGACAGTAGAAAGTAACGTAGACCACCTCGTATACGAAAGCAATGGTTCAAGTTGCTACACTTCACAGTAGAACAAAAATGACACCTGGTTAAGAAAAGAGTAGATGTAGAATACACCTGCGCCATCATTGTGACCAACTTTCAATTGTGTCACCAAAAGTTCTCAACCACTGATTGCTTTCATCTTGACAATTCTAATCAGGCAGTTTACATCTCGCAACACGTCTCAGATCAACAGTTAAAGACTTTGTGGACTTGTGTCACGTATGACCAGCCTAAACTATCTTCAAACCTAACACAACTTACCTTGGGAGTGCATATCCAAGCAATCTCAGTCGGCCAAGGTTCACAAAGTCATCAATCGATTTGCTCGCCTGACATCAACATGGATCATACGGTGATTCCACAATACACACACAATGCTAGCAAGACACATCTGATCTAAATGTAGTAATCACTTCATGTCTTCTCCGTTTAATAGTCATGTCTCACAGCTGTACAATAAGACGGAAAGAACTCCACCACAGTTTACTATTCCGTGCCAAAGATGACACAAGTTGGCAAATGTCAAATAGGTCATCTTTATCCGAACTGAGATTTTGTCAGTAACTAGCTCATTCGGGTTGATGCACCTCCCCAAGTAAGTGAAGTGGTCGATACATTCCACCACTTTACTGCTTATCCTGAAACTAGGAGTAGTTGTAGACTAGTCCTAGAGTATCGTGGTATATTTGACACATACCAAATGCATGCGCTGGATCAAACTTTCATTTCACCTTCAATCATCACTCAGTATCAATATTTACTAATAATTAAACCAGTAGTGGAAATCAGAACTGGAGATTCTGAGTAGTTTGGAAATGTTATGAGATGAATCAAGTGTATCACCAACTGTTTTGCAATACTAGACATTTCAGTTTTACCAACGAGAATGTCACAGTTATTCTACTGAAATGATCAATGTTAGCCATGAATGACTTGACAAACTTGCAGATCACCTCAATGTATCCTCATTCACATTAGCACACAGTATGAGAAAATCAACGAAGACATGATAGTAATAAGAAAAGTTACAAATTTTTCTAAAATAATGATAATAGGTTCCTGTGTTGTATTCTGAATATATGAAGAATTCCTGTTTCTACTTGTATAAACCTGGTACACTGAGGTAGTAGACAGACATATGTAGCGCATAGGCCAACCCACTCAATCAATAAAAGCGCATATAACCAGAATAATTTCTGAACCTCTTCCATAGCGTAATTTATATGTAGCATTATTAGCCTTGAATCGATGTGGATATAAATGACAAAATACTTGTAAGCTAAGCACATTATTGATCCCTGTAAGCTAAGTTTCACAACCATTTAGTAGTATAGGGGACAGATAACCACAATATATCCCGTTAAATTATATCAACCGAAGAAGACTAATGGTGGGAAGAGTTTAAAGGTGGCCAAACTACAATATGGCATCAATCAACCAACTTTTCGACTGTTGATTTCACTCGTGTAGTGGAATGTAGACCTAGAAGTTTGTGTGACAACAACAACGATGGATTAATTAGAAACTCTACATGATATGATTCAGAATCAGTGCCAAAAGCGAGAATTTCTTTACTCATTATCTTTATGTTAATCAGTATGCTAAATTTCAGTATTCTCTCGTTTCTTTTTGTTCTATTTTGAGGATGTTTCCTTTTTTACTTCCTCATCTTTCACCTTGATACATTTTCGTTTAATGTGGACTAGTGACTTATTAGTTTAAGGAGATGACTATCAACCACTGAGTCACGAGTTCGGAACTCATTCCACCTACTGAGGTTTAGGAAGCCTTTACACAATAAGGGCGCCTCATTGCCTACTGCAGGGTTGCGTGCTGAGTGCGCTTCGTTCCATTCATTCGTCACTTGATATGCTGACATAATGTGTGACATATTGGACAGTAATACAGTGATCTCATGTTGTTATTGACTGGTTGACATAGAGTACTGTTGTGTAGAAGGAATATATGTATCGTTAATAATACGTTTTTATTCAATGCTTATGCAATTCATATTAACAAGTCTACTGAAAACTTGTCATACATACACGAACAAGGGATTATTCAGAAAAGTGATACACAAAGAATTGAAAATTTCTGTAAACATGTAAACTCCACAAACTGAAATGCATTAATACTAGTTGGTGATTGAAGGTGAAATTTAAATTTGAACCGTTGTAGGATTCGAACCAGAGACTACCAAATTTCCGGCCTAATGCTGTACCTGAAATGTTGCAAAGTTGTAGGCTACGTATGGAGTTTGTTAGGAGTCACATGTAAGAACTAAACAACTATCTACACTTTATGAGAATTTATTTTCAAATACAATTAAGCTACGTTAGTTGGTTGGAAGCAATCAGCAGCAAGCTTTGTCTCACCGAGGTTTCATGGTTGCTGGCATTTGTCAGTAAGGCATATCTGCAGCTGCAACGGACCAGATATCCCCTACGAGATTCATAATGCAGTTAAAATAGAGATTGTTAGAAATGTCACAGGGTGAATTGACTATTTATAAGATGTTTAGGTGAATACTCTTGAATGTTAACGGCTCATATTATTATTATTATTAGTCCCTTGGGTTCCTAATGGAACATAAAGCTTCAGTAGCACATCTCCATTCTACTCTCTTCTCTGAAATCTTTTCAACACGGCTCCACGACAGCCCATAACCTCTCATTTCCTCCTCGCACGATCTCCTCCATGTCACCCTCGGCACCGACGCCCAACTCGTCGCTTCCTATGGGGATTTCATTCGACAGCTTGGCCTGACACGTGATGTCCCCAGTCGGCCTTCACAGTGTATGCCCAATCCATCTCCACTTCCTTCCACTGCATATTTGTTGAGCGATACCTTCTTGGTTGGTTCGTTCCCAGAGCTCCTTGTTGCTTATTCTTTCTGGCAATCCGTCTGATCTTCAGTAGCGACAGTAAGCAGCTGTTGATGAATGTCTGCAGTTTATTGGAAATCCCTTTCGTAACCCGCCAAGTCTCTGAACCATATAGAAGCAGTGACTTAACTGACCTGGTGTTGAAAATCCGAATCTTGTTCACCCTTTCTGCTGAGTGCAGAAGATCTCCACACTGGTTTCAGGCTAATGAAAGCCTGTCTTGCTTTTCCCTTTCTGACTTTGACATCCTCGTCTGTGCCACCACCACCTGCAGTTGAAACAGTGCTGCCTGCCTAGATAGGTGAAACACGTTACTTCTTTTAAGTTTCTCCCGTTCATGGTGATTGGAGCTTGCTGTTGTTGCTGGAGTTGTTGGTGCGGTATCTTCATCACCTCTGTCTTCTCTACATTCACTTGAAGTCCTATCTTCGTTGTCTCTTCTATCAACTTGTTAGTTTTCACCTGTACATCTTCAAGTTTGTGTGACATCAGGCACAAGTCATCGGCGAAATCCAGATCTTTTAGGTTCTTTCCCGCAGTCCAGCGTATCCCCCTCTTCTCGCTCCCCACTGTTTGCTGTATGATCCAGTCGACCACAATCAGGAATATCATGGGTGATAGTAGGCAACCTTGTTTCACTCCTGTCTTCACTTCAAAAGCATCACTGAGCTTCCTATTGTGAATTACTTGGCATAACGGTTCATATAGTGGATAGAAATAAAAATTAACAAAAATGGAAAATTATTATTATTATTATTATTGGTTGCATGATCATGAATTTAGAAAAGCTTGAAGAATAAGGTGAACAGCCTTAAAGCGAAAAACTAAGCCTTCGTAAATACACGAATAGGATTAGGGCACAATGGTACAATACCATTTCAATAAAGTTCATTATTTTATATGTATGTGATACATCTAACAAGTAAACTAAAAACAGGATGGATAGAGGTGGCGCTATATCGCCGATGAAATCTCTGCATGAATACAAAAGGCTCGGCTGGCTTTTGCCAACATACGCCATCTGTGGCACCACCGTGATATCTGATTGCCTATTAAGGGTTAGTGTGTACTGCATAGTAATCTGCTCTGTTCTACTCTATGGCTGTGAAATATAGCCATTGAAGGTGGAAGGCTTCAGGTGTTTGACCACCGTTGCCTTCGTAGTATAGGCTGCCGTATTCTGTGGTGTCACTATGTGAGTATCGCAGACGTCAGGAAAAACGTTTTAGGAAGAAGAGGTAAGTTAGTTGACGAGGTTATGAACTTTGATCGACTGAGATGGTTGAGACACGTGTTACGTATGCCTACTCGCCGTCTGCCTCGTCACACAATGTTGACTGAAGTAGGTTCAGGCCAGAAAAATGCTCGAGGTGGCCAGAATACAATATGGCATCAATGTATGAAGTCGTTGACTGTTGGTTTGATCCATGTGGGGTGATGCAGACTAGCTGATTGGGGTCAGCGGGAGAAGAGAAACCAGTGGTTGGAGACTGGTTGTAGGTGATATGGCTGAGAAGCGATATCAGTGGCGCAGATGTGTACACACATTATCTTCATTTCAGCGATGCTATACGGAATCTCACCATTTTCTCATTCTTCCTCTCTCCCATTTTCTACTACAAGTTTTCTTTTTACTGAATTTTCTTATCTTCATCTTGCACCTCACTGCCTTTGTACTTTATGTGCTGATATGAGGTGTGGTAATTTAGACCGTTACTTAGGTAATGCCTGGTCCTATGTTGATTTGAATGGATAGATGGATATGTTACTAAATGACAGAAGTAGCAAATGTGGGTCACCGAGTGCGGATCTAGTGGCTCAATGGTAACGTGCTAACCGTGGAACCTGAACCTAGCTAGCTTATGTATGTGTACTGCTGAGGAGTCCTCAACTACGACGAAATAACTGTCCGGTGTTCCCAGATTTTTACTTGTTCGCCAACTGATGTCAGTTCATGATGAATAACAACGTAAAAGGAGGTTATTAGTGTCTTGGTTGTATTGCATTTTCTGAGCTGGGATGTTTAATCGTGAAGCTTTCATCGTCTTTCTGGACGATATTATCAACACTAACTTTAGTATGAAGTGGCTTGCTCGGACGATGTGGTCTGTGATTGGTTATTTCCTTCGATTCTCGTGTCATTGATTGTATAGATTTTTCTGATGACTATTCCATTGTTCATCTTTATTAGCGTACAACTCGAATGATTGAAGTTCAAGCCATTAAAAAGATTACACCAGTTTCCGCATGACTGAAGACAAGTTTGGCTGGTAAGTATCCAATTAATACAAAGCACCTAAAGTGAAAGATTAAGCCTACCCATCCACTTATGCCTAACATAGAATACATCATTAATTCTAAGTCAAATTCATTAAATTGTTTGCTTACTCTCAATTCTGACTGTAATTCATTAATACAACTTTTAAGCTCTATATTTTCACGTTCTTGTTCTAAAATGGTCCCCTCCAATTGGGATAATTTTGCAGAATGCAACTCTTCCATACATTTAAGTTTTGTTGATGTTTGATCTATGCAGAGTAAATGAAAATGGTATTATTAGGAATTATTAAAATAAAATTATTTTTACAATACCAATATAATATGTGAAAACAATAATATACTTGTTGGAATGTATAATGAAGGATATTGAGCAATCAATCATTTGACAGCTGCCTACGCTCAATACTGAAGATCAGATGGCAAGAAAGAATAAGCAACAAGGAACTCTGGGAACAAACCAACCAAGAATATGGATTGTGAATACACTGAGAAGGCCGATTGCGGACATCATGCGCCAGACCAGGTCAGGTTGTCGAGTGGAATCCACATAGAGAAACGATGAATTGGGCATCCCGGAGTATGACATGAAGAAGATCATGTGAGGAGGAAATGAAAGCTTGTGGGCAGTCGTGATACCAAGTCTATAAGACTGCAGAGAACATAGTGCAATGGAGGTGTGCTACTGAAGCCGTATGTTCCACTAGGAACCCAAGGGAAAAAATAATATTAGTCGTTTGACAGTAAAGAATTCAAGCATAAATTAGTTCGTAATACGCTGTGTCCCTTGACAAGATTATGAGTATAGCTGTCGACTGAGGTGGTTATGGTTACGTGTTACGCTTAGATGGAAGAAGTTTTAGACAATTTAAAAAAAACGTATGCCTGCAAGAACCCAGAAACGCATGGTAAGAGAAATTTGAGTCTATATGTCAGAAAGTCCGTTGTAGTGATGAAAATATAGTTGCAGGATATGTTTCCACGAATCATGCCTATATTAGAATCGTACACTCATCAATATCTGCACTTGCATTGTCTCTTCCACCTACAGATATTATTTGATTTATCTTTCTTTTATTGTTTTCTTGTGGTTGAATTCCTTCAACGGACGGACAGACAGATAAATCATCAACAGTCTCTTCGAGAACCGTAGTCAGACAATCTGTGTCCTTGTATAGCTTAGAGTAGTATCACATCTTGTTCTGGCCACCCTGAGCATTTTGCCAACTCAATACTATTTCTACTAACATCGAAACACCAAGTTAAGCGATGCCACAGCATACGTGACATTCTCAAGTTACATTATAGTCGATTAAGGTGCACAACTTCTTGATATCTAGTAATCTGTGCCTAACTTCCACATTGCTCATACACTGATTTCCAGCGTGCACCAGTAGTGCTACGAACACACATGTTGACAAAAGCCTGTAACTGCTTCAAATTTTCTTTTTCAGCGGCTATAGCTAACAGTCGTATGATAATCTTTCATACTTTGCTGATACAAGAGATGTAGCAACCTAGCAAATATTAAAAAAGCCTTCTACATTCAAGCTAAGATTTCGTCAGTAACCAGTCGGTTGGGGTTGGTTAAGCTTCCCAAGAGGATATTATGGTCGATTCATTTCCCACTTCACTGACTATCAATAAGTGGAGGTAACGGTAGACTAGTCCTGAAGCATCGTCTTACATTTGATGCATACTAAAAACACTCAGATTCCTGCTTATGAAATTCTATCAGCCTCTTCGCCTAGCAGGACTATGTCACCATATACTACTCCAAGTTGACCCTGTAAAGCTAGTGGTGTACCTTGGGTGATATCCAGTACCACACCGATAACAAAGTTATCCCTGGTGGATACGACTGTATATGATGGGCGACGGAAGGACCGTCAAGTTGACGGCGAACGGTAACGGAATCACCTTCAAAGACAATCGTTTCTCCAGAAATAAACCTACTTATCACAAAAGAAAATAATTTATATAACACAGGAAAAGATGTTAACAAAAAAAACAAACCTATTTCAGCTTTGTGCTCTGTATTAAGTTCACGTTCATTCGTTAACAATTTACGTTCAAATTCTTTTGTCATCTCTTGTATATGACTAACATGTTCCGCCTTGAGTAATTCTATCTGTAGTTGATAATTTTCATGGATCTCTGATACTGAATCACTGAAATTAAAAAAGATATTAGGCTTAAAAGTGTTTTTGTTCTAAAAAAAAAGCTGTTTCTTAGATAAATAAGATGTAATACAAAGAAGCCTAAAACAATAGGCACCGAGTCAAATATTACTACTATTACTATTATGATTATTTGTCCCTTGGGTTACTAGTGGAACATACAGCGTCAATGGCAAGTCCCCCTTTCACTATCCTCTCTACAGTCTTCTCAACCTGCATCCACCACTGCCCACAAGCTTTCATTTCTTCCTCACATCATCTCCTCCATGTCACCCTCAGCTGGCACGTCCAACTCGTCGTTCCCCCTCTGGCTTCTACTCGACGGCCTCACCTCGCCTGGTGCCTGATATCCCCAAATCGTCTTCTCAGTGTATGCCAAACCCATCCACCTCCACTTCCTTCTGCATATTTGTTGGGTGATAGGTTGTTGGTTGATTCGTTGCCAGCTGGAGTGAGTTCCTTGCTGCTTATTCTTTCTGGTCATCTCATCCTCAGTGTTGAGTGAGCGTAGGCGGCAGCTGTTGATGAATGTCTGTAGTTTCTTGGAAATGCTTTTCGTGACACACCAAGTCTATCAACCATCACATAGAATCACTGACTTGACTGAATTAGTGTTGAAAATCCGGATGTTGTTCACCTTTTGTTCTGAGTGCAGTCGATCTCCACACTCCTCTCATATTGATCAAGGCCTGTCTTACTGTCTTTCCGATCCTGGCTGCTTTGATATCCCCGTCTGTGCCACCTGTAGTAGAAACAATGCTGCCTAGGCAGGAAGGTGAGAGAGACTACTTCCTTTAGGTTTCTCCGGTTGATGGTGATTGGTGCTTGTTGTTGTTGTTGGTGGTTGTGGTGGTGGCGTAGGTTGGGTATCACCATCATTTCCGTCTTCTCTACGTTAACTTGAAATCCCGTCTTCCTTCGCTGCCTCTTCTGTCAACTTGTTAGTTGTTGCCTGTATATCTTCGAGTTTGTGCGACAAGACATTAGACATAAACCATCATTGACAGAATCCAAATTTTCTAAGGTCTTTTCCTTACTTTAGCGTGTGCCCCTCTTCTTGCTCCTCACAGTTTGTTGCATAATCCAGTCGACCATAATTAGGAAGATCATCGGTGATAGTAGGCGGTAGCCTTGTCTTACCCCTGTCTTCGCTTTCACTTCGAAGTCGTCACTAAGCTGCTTTCCATTGTGAATCACTTGGCATGTAGCATCATATAGCTGTTGAATGAGGTTGATAAAGGTTTGTGGAACTAAAACCGTAGTGTTGGAGCAGCTGCCTGGCAAACTACTTCTCGGTCGGTGCTGTCGAAGGCCTTTTCAAAATCGATGAAGTTGAGGCAAAGATCCAGTTGACTGCCATTCTATGTTCTGTTCTATGATGATGGTGATGCGTAGCGTCGCGATTCGATCCGCATATGAATTGTTTTTCCTGAAGCCAACCAGCCTGTTCCGGTGGTAATTTTGAATCCAGTGCATCCTTTAGTCTATCCAGGATGATGTGGCATAATATATTGCTTGGGGTGGTCAGGAACTGGAGCACGATCCGCGCCAGTTCTCGTAAAGACTTAGGTCTGCTTTTTTTGGGAGATTGACAGGACAGCCCTTCCTCCAATCGGACTGACTGAAATATACTACTACTTACATGAACGGGGATGTGACTCATTCGTTGAAGCAGTTTGACTTCAACCAATAAGCTACGGATTCGAGTTCCGTTGCACCAGCCAAAATTTCAACCTCTACGAGGTTGCTAATTGCATTTCCATTTCGGTTATACTGGGTGATTATTGATACTATATATGTTACGATGTGAAGTTGTGAGAATGAATGATAAGTACTTAACGAATAATAATAATAATAATAATAATAATAATAATAATAATAATAAGGTTAAGGCGATTCAACCCGAGTGATTCGCAAAGAGAAAAATTCGAAAGTCTGGTAATCATCTGAGCTGATAGTATCTCAAACTGAAAACATTCATTAGTTAAAACAGACCCGTATTTATAGAGTTTACGGTAACCTTGAAAGGCAAGAAATGATTAGTACATTTAAAGAGGCAGGAGCCAATCAGAACGCTAACGGGTTACATGAAATTGATACATACTGAACAAATAATGAAGTGAATTCAATGAAGTTTAACAAGAGCGATGAACTGAAATGAATTTTTTTGAGAAACAGGATGGTAAGTTGTTGAAGAATAAAAAACACCATTCCATACGTGTAAAAATTCCATATGAATGACAGACTGTTGTGAGATGTGACTGCTGAAGGTGGAAGGCATGCGCAAGCTATACTTTTCTCAGAGTAGGTGTTTCTGCAGTATTCCTCGTATATAATGGAACCATAGAGAGAGTAATGTTGAAGTCAGATGAAGAGTACTAGGTAAGTATGGTAAATGAATCGAGAAGTTAGTGAACTAGGTAAGACATGCATGTCGATTGATGAGGTTGTAAACCTTAGTCAACTGAAATGGCATGGACATGTGTTGTGCATGCCAAGTAATCACTCACCTGGATATACAATACTAAGGTTAGTCGAATTAGGTTCGAAGAGGGTTCAGGGTGGCTAGACCAAGATGTGGCATCAGTCGATGAAGTCTTTCACTATTGGTCTGAGCTGTGTAGGGAGATATAGATTGCCTGGTTGTGGACCCTTGGTGACATAGCTGAAAATCGAAGAGTAGTGGCGCAAATGTATTCACTCTTTGACGTCTTCTGAAGCTTGAATATTCATCTTCAGACTGTTTATTCTCTTACACAACTTGATCTACTTTGATATCACAATTTTTCTATCCACTTGTTCTTTACAGAGCAATGCGAAGTATAGAAATTTGAACCGATGTACTTGTGTGTGAGGTTCTATGGTGATTTAGTCTGTCCTATCTATCTGAACCTAGATGGCCAGGAAGAATAAGCAACAAGGAACTCTGGCTGGCAACGAACCAACCTACAACCTATCACCCAACAAATATGCAGAAGAAAGTAGGGATGGATTGGCCATACACTGAGGAAACTATTCGGAGACACCAGGCCCTCGAGTGGAATCCAAAGGGGAAACGGTGAGTTGGGCATCTGACGCGAGGATGACATGGAGGAGATGGTGCGAGGAAGAAATGAAAGCTTGTGGGTAGTCGTGAAGTCAGGTTTAAAAGACTGCAGAGAACAGAGTGCAATGGAGGCGTGCTACTAGGAACCACTAGGAACCCAAGAGACGAATAATATTATAATAATAATCTATCTGAACCTGAAGCAAATGAAATGGCTTGAACATTTGCATACTAACACAAAGTTTTCATTAACGAGAAATGCTAAAGGAAGTAGGATTAGAATGAAAAAACAAACAAAGAGTAGCTGGATCAAAGCATGAGATCAATCCATGAAGCCTGTAACTGTCAGTCTGAGTTGTGAGGCGAAATCCAAGCTATTTAATTAGGGTAACCAAGCCGTTAGAAATCAGTAATTGGAGACATGATGATACAGATATATAGGTCATATCAACATAGGATCTGACACTACTGTGTAATGGTCAATGTGACCATATCTCATATAGAAACATCAAGCTACAAGGCACCAAGATAAAAGAAATAGAAATCAAGAAGAAATTAACCAAATGTAGCTGAAAGTCGTGGAAATACAGCAGGCAGAAATGAGATAATACTCAAATTTAGTATGATGATTAAGACGAAGATCATGAGTGAATAGATCTGCGCCATTCAATGCAATTCTATGCCATATCATATACAGTCATCAGTGGTCATACGAACTCCTATCGGAAATACTGCATTTCCTTACACGGTTTAGATCAACAGTAAAAGACTGATGCCACTTCTTATTTTGACCATTTCTAACCCTTTTCGTGCCTGAAGCTAATCCAGCTAACATTGCTAAGTGGGTTAGATGGTGACTAGGGAAGTGTACATATCCCGGTCACCTGATTCGAGGAAGGTTTGTAACCAGTCAAAGAAGTTATGAAACCTTTACCGATTAAAGTTTCTTAGACATGTGTTAATCGATGTAGGTTCAGGATGAACAGGTCAAGACGGTACCAGTTCATGAAGTCTTCAGACATAGGTCTGGGTTATGCAGGGAGATATGGACAGTGTTCCTGGAGTAATCGAAATAATAAGAATTAGTGGTTGGAGACCGTTGGTTACAAGGTATACACTTTCTTATATCTTCGAAGTCGTAATTATCTTTACTTATCCTTGAGTTTTAAACTCTATGTCTTTCCATATAGTTTTATCGACTTATTCTCTGAATGTTGCTGTGAACGGTGACAATTTGAGGTGATTCATTTCTTGTCTATCAATGAAGTTTATAATTTTTTGTACAACATATTTTTGGCTGTCTGTCTGCTAACCTCCTATCATGTGTATTGGATTGGTCCAGAGTATCATTCATAACAGCGACACTGTGTTACGTCTACTTAGGTAGCGAAATCGAATTATGAAGTCAAAAATGATGCATCAAACCACAGTAGGTTGATCCAGGTTCGAACTTGTGACACAGTAGTTGGAAGTCGAGTGTGTTAATTAATAAGAAAGCCGATCGGTTAATTATCAAGACTATTTCGAACGTAGTTCGATGATAATACTAGGGCTCCCTTGACCTTAACCAACTTATGACATTTATGCCGTCAGCATGATATTCGATTACTCATCAAAGGCAGAATGTACTACCCTGTAGTTCGTTCTGCCCTACTACATGCTTATGCAACATGTTCCCCGAAAATAGATGAAGCTTCGGTTGTTCGACCACCATTGTCATCGTAACAGTTCACGTGTCCTGGTGCCACCACATCAGTAAAGCTATAGTCAGGCATAGAATTTCTGGCCGAAGAGGAAATTCAGTCAGTGAAGTTGTGAACCTTCACTTCTTTCATATGGCTTAGAGATATTTTATGTACACTGAGTCACTGTCTGTCCTGCTACTCAAAACTACCTAAGGTAGGTTTAAACACGACAAAAGTTAGAGGCAATCAGAATCAAACATAACACCAATTCATGAAGTTGTTGACTGTCGATTTGGAAAAACAGAATTCTCGGTTGAGGTCGGTAGGACAGTTAAAACCAGTGGTTGTACACGCTAGGCGATGTGGTTAAAAACCAATCTCAATGGTGTAGATGCACCTACTTATTAGCCTCATCTTAGATGTTATACTGAATTTCATTGCTGCTCCACTTTCTTTCTGTTCTTGTTTTAGAAGTTTATCAATGTTGACGCTGAAAAGAAGACATACTTCTCTAAGCATTTCTTTTTATAACCAAAATGAAATTTCAAGTCATAATCATATGAACATTAGTAATTTACCTTAAGAAGTTATTATTATCCACAGAGTTCTTGTTGCTGTTCTCCTTCATTTCTGTATTCTGTAGTTCTAATTCATTCACTTTCAATTGTAATTGACTGATTAATTGACACTGATTTTGATATTCAGATTGTAAATGCTTTAGTTTGTCTTCAACTTCACTAAGAGATCCTTGTAGCTCAACTTCACGACGTGATGGAGTATTCGAGGACTTTTTACTTGTCTCCAATTCTTGTAGAACTTGTTTTAGACGATTTTCAATTCCTAGATAATAATAATAATAATGTGATTTGAGGTAAATAAGATTTTCCCTTTTTAGGTAGCATTCATCATGAAGTTCGATCCATAGCAGAATCGTGGGTGCGTAATGCTGCGGAGTCCCATGGTAGGACGAAACAGCTGTTCAGTGCTCTCAGGTTTCCAATAGCTCTCTAACTGATGTCAGCCCATGATGAATGCTACCTTGATAATAATAATACAAACTATAACAATAGTGAAGTAATAAAAAGAAAGATGCGAACATGATGTTTCGTTTATGAGTGTATTTTTGATCTTTTCCTTGTCGATTTATGTAACCGAAACCCTATCAAACATTGAAATAAGAAGTATCCGGTTACCCACCGGTGACCGATTCATGAGACGTCTTGTCCCTGTTGGTATATAAACCTATACGAACGTCTCGATGTCGTCGGTAGTCGGACCTTGATTATACTCTCGGTAATATCTAGCAGTGGTATCAATGTTTCGTCCTGTCTGAGGCTCATCACCCGGATATGCTCCTGCATTTCGATGATTGCTGCTGTTTGCACAGTGAGCAGGAAAAAAGCTTGGTACTCAAGTGATAGGCTATTGGTAATGTACTGGTCTTCTACGTCAGTCCATGAAAAACTGGTTGTTATTATTATGATATGCCCAGCTGTCATTTATTTCAATGTACAACACTAATCGAAAGAGAATTAGACTCGAAAAAAGTTGGCCGAAGTAAAGCATAATAACCCACCGATAGGTGTTAGCTGGTTCAAGGCAATGGACGAAAAGTCCTGCTTGGTCAAGGTTTCCTCCATTATGGAACTCGTCAGCAAGACGTATCTACAACTCTGATGGAACTGATGTCCCACCTGAGGTCCGAACCCTCATCACCCAGTGTTGTAGTCGGTAATGTCAGCACTGAGCTACTTGGCCCGCTGCTGACCTCCTTAAGGACTGGATTAGATACATTGACTGGTCACTTCATGTTGTCTAGTCTTATGTGCTGACCGAATTCTACCGACCATTTTCCAGTCTAGCCAAATATCATCCATTCATGAAATCACTCGTTATTGGTCTGAATCATGTATACAGCTTCATAACAAGGCTCAAGATGTTAGAAATCAATGGCTGAAGGAATCTTGATGATTCACGTTGTCTGAAATCTTTTTCTTGGGCATGCTTAATAACATTCTAGTTGGGTTGAGAAAAGTGTAGTAAGTTGGACCAGCTTCACCATTTTTACTTGTCTGATACAGATTATATCAAAGTCATATTGATAAATTTCAAAGTGATTTTTATAATAAACAGATAAATCATCTGTAGAGAAGCACTGAAAACTTGAGAGTACTGCAGAATTGCTTCATTCTAATTTAGGACTCTTCAAAGGTGCACATCCACGGCCTTATAAGGGATTAAGTATAGGACCAACTAACTTCGTGAAATACTACATTGTAATGAAATTGTTATAGATGCTCTAACCTAACACATTGATTAGAACTAACTGAATAAATGTTTTGATGCTAAATGGTTCAATGATAGGGTCATTTATTCCACACTGGCAACTCCATTAAACTTCAATAACTCCAACAACCTTTTGAAACTGATATGTTGTAACAATAATAATAATAATAATTTGAAGCAACTGGTCCCTTTGATAAATTTAAACAGTGTAATGAGAAGAAGAAAGTTGTCTGAAACATGTGGTGATGTATTAGCGCTATACATTTCGAACAATCTGATCCCTCACACATGGACTTGTAGGACTATTTATGTGAAAATTTATGAAGAAGGTCAGTCAAGTTAATAGGAAACATTGGAGGGAATAGGAAGAGAGAGAAAAAGAAGAAAAAACAAACCTTACTCATGTGTATGAAAATTAAAATCAATACACCACCAATGTAGGTTCAACATGAGTACAAATTGTTTTTGTATACATAAAGCATGGGGTTTAAATTTACGGATGAGAAGAGCTTGAATAAATATTGAGCACTCGACTTTGACCACTCTTATGTAGTACTTCAAAGGCTGTTTCCTTTCATGTCAATCCTATGGTTAGTTTCTAGTAAATGTTTAGCGATAGACGAAAATGGATGTTTGTTACCTGCACTTATTGGATCTGTTGAGGTCAATTAGTTTTTGATACCAACCACTTAGGTACATGTTCAACCTTCCGTAACTGCATATCACGATTACTCCTCCCTAAACACAGTGGGATGTGGGATGTAATCGTTTATATGTTGTTTTGGTTTGTGCTATAACATGGACTTGGTCTTCTCTACAATGATCACCTTGGCTGTATAATACGTTTTACAGATGGCCGATCTAAGTCTTTTCCTCACAAGAAACCTATGTGAATCACCTCTAAATGGTAATAAGATGTAGACATTTATCTTAGCAACGGAACACTGTGTACTTTTCAATGATACATAACGTTTGCACCTGTCGGTAAATCTCAACAGGTATCCATTGTGTGTCAGTGTTGTTGTCAGTAAGTTGGCTTCTTATTGTTGGAAACCGTTTAGCTGATTGTTTACAGCTATAAATATAAATGTATTTGAAATGTGTTACTTTGCTTGTAACAAGTGATGGTATACAATCAACGTGCAGGTCGTTATGGGTATTTTTCTACTACAAAGAATGTTCAGCCACATATTTCTCTAGTTCATGACAGTTACGTAACAGAGATAACATTTTATGATATTCATTGAAAATCTAGTTGGGGAGTTAAAGACCTGCTCAGCTGCGGGAAATAGGAAAATACACAGCGCAATTTGCTCTAATATGGTGTTCTCTTAAAGTCCTCGGCAACTTTTCACTTGTATCTTGATCAGACTGTGGCAACTGGAGTCATTTTTCACCGATATATTATTGTTATTTGTCCAATGGGTGCCTAGTGGAACATAGGGCTTCAGTAGCACGTCTCCATTCCACTCTCTTCTCTGCAAACTTTTGAACCTAGCCCCAAGAAAGCTCACAAGCTCTCATTTCTCCCTCACACCATCTCCTCCATGTCACCTACAACTGAGAAGCCCAACTTGTCGTTTCCCATCTGGGTTCCATTCGAGGGCTTGGCGCCTGATGTCCTCAATCGGCCTTCTCAGTGTATGCTCAATCCGATCCATCTCCACTTCCTTCTGCATATTTGTTGGGTAATAGGGTTGTTGGTTGGTTCGTTACCAGCTAGCCACAGTAAGTTCCTTGTTGATTATTCTTTCTGGCAATCCATCTGAGCTTCAGTAACGAGCTAGCGTAGGTGGCAGTTGTTGATGAATATCTGTAGTTTGTTGGAAATCCCGTTCGTAAAGCACCAAGTTTCTCAACCATCACATAGAAGCATTGACTTGACTGGATTGGTGTTGAAAATCAGGATCTTGTTCATGCTTTATGCTGGAGTGTAGAAGATCTTCACACTATTTTACACCGATAACGGATCGCATACTGAAGTTGATAGACTTCAGTCAATAATTCACTTGTATGATAGAATGAGAAATTTCAATGATTAATTCTTCAATTTTCTATTTAGAATGAATTAGTACCACCGTATGAAATTGTTCCATGTATGCGACCGGTTGTATTCGTTGGTCCAGCTTTAAAAGGTTATGAAGTGACAGATATGATGCAGAAGGCAATATTTGATGCAATGAAAAAACATTTTGATGGAAGGTTTGTAAGAAATCTCTAAGAATATTCAATAATTCTGTATGTTAACTTTTCATTCACCTTGTGCATTGAAATTTCTTTAACGATTCAATTGGTTCTATGGTATAGGATTTTTAGCCAAATCTTCCATTGTTTTACTTGGCTGGCTGACTGGCTGGCTGGCTGAGCGGCTTAGGACTGGCCAGTTAGTAACTTTTCAGGTATATTTTGAAAAGTATCCTGAACATACTCTTACTTATTTACTGAAGGTTCCTTTTTTTATTTATTTCATTTGACACTTGATTATACATTTTTTATATCATGTTGATAAATATCAACTGGCTTGATCGATTTATTAACAAACATTATACCCTAAAGATTCATTATTGAAATTATCCCACAGAATGTATCTCATTCATTGATATCAACAAGTGAATGTTTAAACTAACAGTATGATTCATCTACTTGTCTTGTCTTGTGTATGGATCATTTGAAGAGGATACTCAAATGGTTACAGAAGTAACTATTCTATATAAGAAGCATAGATAGAATAGAATTTTACTAATTGTTCACTTTTATCAATCATCTAGTTGATATAATTTGAATAACAAACATTTAGAGTAAATTTTTCTATTTACAATCCATACTCAGACTGTTAATGTAGACATTTTATTGTTTTCACTTCATTTCCCTGAACTTTATTACCTATATTCATTCAGAGATGATTCTGTACTACATGTCAATGTGAACATCTTATCACTCAGTGTATTTAGAGGAATAGTGAAGACTGGAGAGGACTGAATAACTATGTTGTACTGGTGTATGTAACTCGTCCGCAGATCGCATCGTATATTATCTCAAAACTAGTCAATCCCTTCTCCCCCCCCCCTCCCTACACCTTCGGACTGAATTACTGTCCACTGCTCACAGTTAACATTCTGTAGAGCAGATTTCTAGAAGTTAAAGTGAAAAGTATTAGACTATGGGTTATCGTTGCTCACTGCACATAAATTTCTCTTTTTATGAAGAAACAACTGTCTATTGCTTTAAGATTTTCAATCACCCTCTATCCTTCATAATGAATACTATCTTGAATGACAACTATAGTTGGATGTAAGTGGATATAATTGCTTACTTAATTCTAGGGGAAATGTTATCTAAATGAATGATGAGTGGGGCAGATAGACACTTGTAATGATAAGAAACACAATAACAATAAGAGAAAGTAGTTAAAAGGAAATTGGGTGGGATACCTCGCGGGTCACAGGTGCCCACTGCTGAAAAATCCCGTACCAAGAAGAAACAGTTGTCCAAACATTTGAGGGAATTCACTTCAAAAAGGAGGATGAAGCTAATAACGTAATTCCCTTCCTAGATATAGTCACATCAGAAGAACACATGACTGGACTTTAATAACTCCAGTGTACAAGCACTGTTCTCAAGAGCCAAAAACATACTGCAACACTGAAGCACTACAGAAAGTCAATGGAAAACACCTGTAGAAGTCAATAACTATCCATTGAACTTTATCTCAAAGTTTTTTCAGCAGGAGGAAAGACAGAACATTGCTTCAACTCACTAGACGCCTTATTCTATCCCTATATCAAATATATCTCGAAAACTGTCAACCGATTACTTCTCATCTTTTCGGAATTAAAGCAGAACACAAACCAACGAAATCACTAAACAGTATATTGTGCAAACCAGGGAATCCATTGCCATAATCAATTACAGACATTAATGATGGATACTGGGTAGCAGTGGAATCCACGATGCGTATTTCGTCCCATTTGGTATAATACAAACAATAACACTAAAAGTATACCCATCACACAAGATGTGGCTATCGTCGCTTGGTGATGCCCAAGTTTAACACATATTAATTTCTCACTGATTAGCGACTACTGACCTAATCTGCACTATCAGACAACTTTCTTCGAAATGTTGACAGTAATAAAACTCAATCTAATTTTGACAATCAACTCTAGAAAAAAAGACTCATGCAAAGCCTGAATTGTTTACTAACATCAGTTATCCATATCCATAAGTGCTTATTTTAAGTAGTATTGTATCACAGATGCTTATATCTCGATGGTGCTTATAGTCAATTTCACATGATCCACATCAACTTCATTCATCAATGTGTTTCCATAAGAACATGCATATCAAAATACGTGTACAAACAAAACTCTACGCCTTATTCTTTCTATCTGAGATCAATAAAAAAAACTTAATTACATTTGCATATCTTAATCGAACTGTATGCATTTTTGATATTACTATTATTATTTGTACCTTGGGTTACTAGTGGAACGCAAGGCTTCAGTAGCACGTCTCCACTTCACTATCTCATCTGCAGTCTTCTCAACCTGCATCCACCACTGCCCACAAGCTTTCATTTCTTCCTCACATCATCTCCTCCATGTCACCCTCACCTGGCACGTCCAACTCATCGTTCCCCCTCTGGCTTCTGCTCGACGGCCTCACCTCGCCTGGTGCCTGATATCCCCAAATCGTCTTCTCAGTGTATGCCAAACCCATCCACCTCCACTTCCTTCTGCATATTTGTTGGGTGATAGGTTGTTGGTTGATTCGTTGCCAGCTGGAGTGAGTTCCTTGCTGCTTATTCTTTCTGGTCATCTCATCCTCAGTGTTGAGTGAGCGTAGGCGGCAGCTGTTGATGAATGTCTGTAGTTTCTTGGAAATGCTTTTCGTGACACACCAAGTCTCTCAACCATCACATAGAATCACTGACTTGACTGAATTAGTGTTGAAAATCCGGATGTTGTTCACCTTTTGTTCTGAGTGCAGTCGATCTCCACACTCCTCTCATATTGATCAAGGCCTGTCTTACTGTCTTTCCGATCCTGGCTGCTTTGATATCCCCGTCTGTGCCACCTGTAGTAGAAACAATGCTGCCTAGGCAGGAAGGTGAGAGAGACTACTTCCTTTAGGTTTCTCCGGTTGATGGTGATTGGTGCTTGTTGTTGTTGTTGGTGGTGGTGGTGGTGGTGTGAGTTGGGTATCACCATCATTTCCGTCTTCTCTACGTTAACTTGAAATCCCGTCTTCCTTCGTTGCCTCTTCTGTCAACTTGTTAGTTTTTGCCTGTAGATCTTCGAGTTTATGCGGCATCAGACACAAGTCATCAGCATTTCCGATATATTCTGAGTTAACTCTCGATACTACCGATTAATAAAATTCATCTAATCACATTGTAATCACTAAGCTAAAACCTCCTAAAAACACTAATGATGAGTGAAATCAGCCCGCAGCATCTGAAGAAAATAGTTTTTAGTGTTTAAACTTTTCTAGTTGTTAGTAAATTCAAAACCATTGTTATTGTCGTCTATAACTGCAACAAATTATATTACTTCTCAAGTTTTTCAGTAGTAAACTCCGTTATCAAAAAAAGAACAGTAAATAATGTTCGTAAACTAACAAATTCCTTCCAAACGCCATGACGCAGACAAAAGGAAGCAGCAAGCAAAGAAGGCAAACCGAATATCATTTACAAAATCAATTGCAATAACTGTAGTCAACACTACGTTGGAAAAAGTGGTCGGCCTCTTCACCTTCGTCTACCTGAACACCAGTTGACTATCAAACGTCACAGGCGGCATTTCGTCCCTCATTTCAATGCATGTGGATAACAAGTGTAGACATGAATTCAACTTCGACAATATAGAAATCTTAGACGGAGAAAGGAAACACAAAGAATATCTGAGAATTCCTAGAATCTTAGCATACAGGTCAGTCAGTAATCAACAGATGTATAGACATATACCCGATCTACCAACCAATAAGGAAAATGATAAACGACAGAAAGGTTACAGGTGAAGCAGAGGAACAGCCAACAGGAAAGTCTATACAATCAATGACACAACAATTGAAGGAAACAACCAGTCAGAAACCAGTTGGTCATGGCAAGCTACTTAACCACTCACGGAGAGATATTGATAGCTCACTTCATACAGAAGTCAAAGCTGTGGATGATGTCACTGTCTAGAGAGATGATGAAAGCTTCACGATTAAACAACCCAGTTCAGAGAACACAATACGACCAAGGCCATCAACCTGAGCTACAAATATTCCCCATTATTATAGTAATAATGTATATTGATCCTGGTGTGCTGATTGAAAATGAAATGAAAATTTGAACCGCTGCCGGATTCAAACCAGCGACCATCGGGGTTTGGTGCTCAGTTGATAGATAACCAGACCGAAAACTCGATGGTCTCTGGTTCAACTTCCAGCACGGTTCAAATTTCATTTCACCTTCAATCATTACTCAGTATCAATACTATTCTGCCAAACCACTTGGCTATCTCAAATAGTCAAAATGATAAATAAAAATGCAGGATACAAAAAGACAAAATTACTGTAAACATAACGTAATGGTTTTTACCCATCATTTCACAAACGTAAACACACTGAATAACGTTCCAACTCAAATGGTGAACAAACACATTTTATGAAATACAACTTACTATGTTCTGTTGTTTCAATTGTTTCTCTTTAGCAGCTACAGCAGTGAGTAAAGCATTTTGATGTTCACTTTTCAATTGAGCAATACATTGAGATCTGTCATCTTCATGCTTCTTGATCAATTTGTTCAATTCTTCTTCATGCTTTTGTCTACAATCTTGTAAAATATCAGAATGTTCTAATTGCAATTTCTTCATTTCATTTTGTAAGTCATTACATTGACTTCGAAGACAAGAAACAGCTTTATCAGATTCTTCTAGTGTGTTATTAATCTGGAGAATGAAGAGATAAAAGTGTAAATGGCACAACAGTTAAACAAAAACTCATAAATTTTGCAGGTAAGCAAGAATCATAATATTTTGTCAAATAAACACCCTGATAGCTTGGTGATCATAGTACACATTTTGAAATCAGCACATGGATGCCATCTCATAGTATTAAATTTGTTAAATAAAAGTGCCAGATAGACAGCTAGCTTACATCTCCCCACATAGATTGACAGTCAAAGACTTCATAGACTAGTGGTACGTCTTGATCTAGCCAAACTGAAACCTCTTCCAATCTAATCCAACCACCTCAACCATGAGAGGTTGAGGTAGGCGGTGAATCAGCATACGCGGTACATATTAAATCTATTTAAATCAATGAAGGTTCACGACTTCATGACAAGCGTCTTACCATTCAGCCAATAAGTTTAGAATCCAATAACCGACTTATTTTAACTGCTGTCTTATTTGCAATATAACGCAACCATCATCCAATCTCATAATATAAGTAACCAGCTCACTATCACTTATTATGTAAGCAAAAGGCATAAGAAAAAATCAGTTGAATATACTTTCCTTATTTTTGATATTTTACTGTATTTTTTTAAGCTATTGTTTTATGTTGACTAGCCTTCATACAACCTCGCCTGGGTAACTAGTTCACTAGTTACCAGCTCGTCATAAGCCCGCATACAGAGGGAAGGTTGAGCATACAGCTAGCAAACCTACCCCGTTGAACCAATCTAATCGCGAAAGAAACTTCAAACTTCAAATATTCCTCACTGGAATCGGAGACGTAAAATTTCGCCAGTTGGTGAAAGCTTTCGGGAAGCCAATTGGCCTATGTGTCTTGTCACTCTCAATGAAAGCAAAGGTAAACATAGGGACATGGAATGTCCGAACAACTTTTGAAGCTGGCAGACAAGGCTGCCCAAATTGTCAAAGAGATGAAAAGGAATGGTATAGAAGTGCCAGGAATCTGCGAAAGCAGATGGAATGGAAGTGGACTCTTTAAATTGTCAACTGGAGACGAGTCGATAATCTACTTCGATATTGTCACCCGAACGACAACCACAAGCACACTAACGGAGTGGCTATCACGATGTCCTCAAGACCACCAAAGGCACTCATGCAGTAGGAACCAATCTCTTCCATGATCATGACTGCAGGATTCAACTCAAAAGGAAGCAAAGTCACAATCATTCAGTGCTACGCTACACACCAACAAATAATGCAGATCAAGAGAAGGAGGAATTCTACAGACAACTGTAATCAACACTGGACAAAACCCCACCCCAGTTGACGATATAAAAATTGTAATGGGTGACATGAATGCCAAACTGGGAGAGGATAACACAGAGAGAGAACTTATCATGGGTCGAGAAGAGCTCGGTGAAACGAATGAGAATGGAGAACTGTTTGCAGATTTCTGCGCATTCAACGATTTAGTGATTGGAGGCAGTGTGTACAAACACAAGGATAAAGTGGAGACGCAGCCTATTGGACACAAGATCAAGAAGGGGAGTAGATACAGGTTCACACCACTCACTATCTAGTGCAAGGAACCTGCCTTCAAAATCAAGTTGAAAGACTTCAAAGCTCCGAAAAGAGCAGAAGTCCTGTGCGCCATAAAATGGCTGAAATCCAGGAAAGCAGCAGGACCAGATGGAATTCCACCAGAAGCACTGAAAACATACACACAGACAAGAGCGGACAGGATGACGCCACTATTCCAGAAGGTTTGGAAGGAAGTAAAGGTACCTGCCGACTGACTGGAAGAAGGGCTACCTGGTCAAACTCCCAAAGTAGGGCGACATAAGTTTTTGCAAGAACTGGTGCGGAATCATGCTACCGTTCCTGACCACCCCGAGCAAAACATTAAGCCGCACCATCCTGTAGAGGTTACAGAATGCTCTGGATTCAAAATTACGACTAGAACAGCCTGACTGATTTCACGAAGAACAAATCATGTGCGGATCAAACTACAACTACCTCAACTTCATCGATTTTGAAAAGGCCTTCGACAACGTCGACCGAGAAGTAATTTGGCAGGCAGCTGCTGCTTCAACACTACGCTTTTAGTGCCACAAACCTATATCAACCTCATTCAACAGCAATATGCTATGCTATATGATGCTACATGCCAAGTGATTCATAAGGGAAAGCTCAGTGATACCTTGAATTGAAGACAGGGGTAAGACAAGACTGCCGCCTACTACCACGAATGATCTTCCTGATTGTAGTCGACTGGATCATGCAGCAGACAACTGTGAGGAGCGAGAAGAGGGGCACACGCTAAAGTAATGAAAAGACCTTAGAAGATTTGGATTTTGTCAATGATGGTTTATGTCTAATGTCTTGTCGCACAAACTCGAAGATCTACAGGCAAAAACTAACAAGTTGACAGAAGAGGTAGGGAAGGAAGACGGGATTTCAAGTTAACGTAGAGAAGACGGAAATGATGGTGATACCCAACCTACACCACCACCACCACCACCATCAACAAGCACCAATCACCATCAACGGGAAAAACTTAAAGGAAGTAGTCTCTCTCACCTACCTGCCTAGGCAGCATTGTTTCTACTACAGGTGGCACAGACAAGGATATCAAGCAGTCAGGATCGGAAAGACAGTAAGACAGGCCTTGATCAATATGAGAGGAGTGTGGAGATCGACTGCACTCAGAACAAAAGGTGAACAACATCCGGATTTTCAACACTAATTCAGTCAAGTCAGTGATTCTATGTGATGGTTGAGAGACTTGGTGTGTCACGAAAAGCATTTCCAAGAAACTACAGACATTCATCAACAGCTGCCGCCTACGCTCACTCAACACTGAGGATGAGATGACCAGAAAGAATAAGCAGCAAGGAACTCACTCCAGCTGGCAACGAATCAACCAACAACCTATCACTTAACAAATATGCAGAAGGAAGTGGAGGTGGATGGGTTTGGCATACACTGAGAAGACGATTTGGGGATATCAGGCACCAGGCGAGGTGAGGCCGTCGAGTAGAAGCCAGAGGGGGAACGACGAGTTGGACGTGCCAGCTGAGGGTGACATGGAGGAGATGATGTGAGGAAGAAATGAAAGCTTGTGGGCAGTGGTGGATGCAGGTGGAGAAGACTGAAGAGAAGATAGTGAAATGGAGACGTGCTACTGAAGCCCTGCTTTCCACTAGTAACCCAAGGGACAAATAATAATAATTATTATAGCCTTCGTACTGCCAATAACATAAAGTGTTGTAGAGGAACATTATTCATTTTGAGTCGTGTTCAAAAGTTAATGGGTTGAAATAAATTAAGTAAGTCTATCCAATGGATGCATTCTAAATGAAGAGTTATTTATACGATAACAACTTTCATTACTTACGAGTGGTTCATGGTTATGAGTTTGAGTCTCACTCCAACTATCGAGGTTCGGGCAGCCATTAACCATAACAATATAGGTGTGGCTCATTGCCTGCCGAACAAATGTGCACTCAGTAGCTGAGTACGTTTCCTTCTTCCTTCAGATAACGTTCATTGAAAAGTTGAACTTGAGAACTAGTCTGGTCAGCTCAAGACTTATTCCACATTGAATCTACTTCAACCAACAAGGGTATTAACTTCCAACCCACCTCTCAGAATGTGAAGAAATTCATCTTAAAGTAATTTACTAATGAGCATTCAGTTAGATATGAGTACTAAACTTTTGTACACACTCTAGAAGACTTCAGATTTCCTATGTCCCAAGATCTGATAGTTTAAAGCGAAAATGAATTGTGTTTTTCAGGTTGCTAGATATCCTTGGAGTAAAAAAGATTATGAAAACGCTTAGCTCACAACTTTTAAACAATATTTCATTGACAGAGATCACAATTATGAAAACAGATGCTTGAAGTTCATACTGTCCATCAGAATGTGCCTGAAAACAAAAAACATCAACGTAGAGCCACATACATGAACATAACTACAACGATTTAAGTCGCCACACATCACAGGCCCATGAAGAGAACAAATGAGTAGAAAAATAGTGATATCAAAGTGGACAAGGGTGTAAGGCAGAAAAAAATAATTGAAAATCAATCAATTATTGATCCTTATCGTCTCAAGAACTCCAATCAGACAGTTTACATCTCGCTGTATGGCTTAGACCAACAGTCAGAAACTTCGTCGACTGTATCCTTCATCAGCGTCCTACTCTGACCATCCTTAAAGTTTTTTTCAACCCAGCCTTACATCAGGTAAAATCGCATGTTGAGGTGGGTTGAGATTCAACATACGCAAAACATGTTCAAGCCACCTCATTAGCTGAAGGTTCACAACTTCATAGGTCGACTTGTCTATCTTGCCTGGTAACCTTCGCCTAACCTCGACACTTCTCACACGGTAATTCCACCACATGTGAGCGGTGAGGTATTCTGTTTACTTTATCTACTTTTTAACGGCAATGTCTCATATATATAGCAGGAAATAATAGACTGCAGAGCAGGATACTTGTCGTTCAATAAGTAATCAGATATCTCGCTAGTCAGCGTCACAGATGACGCAAGTTCGGGAACGTCAAACGGGTTGAAATTGCGGCAGAAACCACTCCATTCAAGCTTATGTCAATTCCCGCATAATTGAAATGGTCGATGCATTCAGCCAACTCAATCCATATCATTATGCTGGGAGTGGTTTCAGACCAGTTCTAGAGCATCAGCTTACATTTCACAGGTCCGAGACCTATGCTAAACATAGACAGATTTCCCCTCAAAGTGCTAACAACACTCTGCATTTTCACCAAGCAGAACAATATCGTCTGAACACCGCCACTAGTTGTTGTCAACTTATTTGAAAACTCCCTATAAGCTCTCACACGGATGGATGAGTTTGAGGAGAGAGGTTTGATTAGCGTAATAGGCTTGCTCGGTGCTTCTTCCATAGTAAGACACTACTACAACATCAAATGATGCCTTCACGTCAACAAATATGGCAAGTGATGGCCACTGGGTGGTAGGTGTGTCTGTGTTCCAGAACGTATCGTAGGATAAAAATATGATCAATGCACCCTCCTGAAGCTTTCAAACATGCCTGGTTTTTCCGAGCTCTCGTTAGGTGTAGGGTAACTATGGAACTGAGGGTCTTGGGGATGATGTTAGTCATGTTATCGTCTTAAGTTAAAAACAGTCTGCTCAACTTCGATGAGATTTGAAGGATTGACACCTATATCCCATTCAAGTTCGGGCTGGATGTTACGTCAACTGAGTTATAAGGAACAAGCTGGTGTTCTGCTTGAAATATCATTGTAACCATTCAAGAAAAAAAAGGTTAAAACCCTAGAAAAACTGTTAACTTCAACGAACTAACCAAGGATTCTTTCTCTAATAATTCTTTTGACAAATAATCAGATTTTTCTATGGCCAATTTTAATTGATTTTGTAAATTACATACTACTTCTTGACTTTGTTCATATAATATCAATTGAGTAGTATATTTATCCTTTAAGATTATTTCATTCTGTTTTAATTCATCAACAGATTGATTTGCTTTCAATAATGCTGATTCAATAGTGGAGAAATTTTCATTTCTTATCTTTATAGTTTCTTTTAATGTTTGATAATCATTTTGTGATTTTATTAACTGATCATTAAGTTGACTAGTTTGTAATTGTGTTGTAGTCAATTGACTGTTTAATTCATTGATAATTGATTGGTAATACTTAGGGGAATTTTTCAAGTTATCAATATATATCATATGTAATTTGTGTAGACGCGATTCCAATCCATTGAAATCATTAATACACTGATGAAGGTAGTCATTGAATGACTTATTCAACTCTGAATTTATCCATGTTGAAAATAACTCAAAGTTGTCATTATTATCAGTAGATAATTTATTGAAATTATCCATTTGTGAAATTAACATTTTCTCTATGCTGTTAAATGAATCAGCTAAATGTTGGGCTTCAAATCTAACTTGGTTGTATTCATGAGAGATATCGTCTCCACCATTATTATTATTATTATTATTATTATTATTATTATTATTATTGTCTGCACTTAAATATTCTTTAATTTCAAACAGAATACAAGCGATTCTGGATTGACACAATTGAATTACACTATGATAGAGTTGAGAATGAGTATTAGACACAAAAGTTTGGCATATTCGATTGAATGAATGGTACTCATCCAATTTTAAGTGAACTTCATTTATCTGTGGAACAAAAAAGGGAAGGAGCATAGAATACATGAATAATAAACATAATTATATGATAATTGTAGCGTTAAACTACTTACTATTTACAACACGTAATATATCATCGTTATGTATTCCTTGTGTAGCTTTGATGACGATGGCCAACATGATATTGAAAAATTTGACCAAAGAGGGTAGTTTTCAATCTGAAAGATGATGAGCAGAAGGGTGGAATAGCCTAATGAGTAAGGTTGGTCTGCAGATTGCGATAGCTACTGAACAACCCCTTCGTTCATATCACATCAAGATTATTAGGTTCTATGGTCAGCACGTTACCTGCACAAAACCTTCAGATAGAATTAGTCTGGGAGCTCATTGGTGACTTGCTTGGAGAGGTGATTACCGAAGTTCCAATCAGAAGTCGCGACCAGTGGAGTCAACCAAGTCGAACATGAGGAGGGCTACTCAATGACAACATTGGATGTAGGTTGTGCTACATCGTGAACTGACAGAAGTAGATGTGAACCATTGGATTCAGACCGACTGGCTAAACGGTAACGTCCTGGCCACGAAACCTGAAGGTCACTGGTTCGACCCCTGGCGTGTCGTGGGTGTTGAAGAGCCCCCTAATAGGGCGAAACAGATAGCTATCCAGTGCTCACAGGTTTTTAATGTTCCTCCAACTGATGTCAGTCCATGATGAATTCCAACCTAAAATTAATTAATAAATCTCCAGGCAGAAATATATTTTTAGTTGAAACAAAACTGATTCGTCGGCTTCCAAGACGGTCAACTTCAACATAGGACTCGGGATTACTGCTTCACAGTTCAAGTTGCCGTACCTCATATCAACACATCAAGTGATAAAGGGCTAAGATGAAAGATAAAGGAGAAAGTAGTCAAAGCGCCAAAAATTCATGAGAAGACAGCAAGCAGCAATCAGACAATACTGAAATTCATTATGATAATTAAGATAAAGATGATATGTGAATACATCGGTTTCGAACTACTAACATGCATGACATATGGATGCCAACCAGGAAGTCTAAACTTTCTTTACACAGTTGACACAAACAATGAAACACTTCATGGAATGATATCGTGTTGTAGTTTCCCCACTGCTAACCTTTCTCCCATCTAAACCTAATTCAGCTAACATTGTGAGAGGAGGTATGCATGTGTGACACATATCCCAACCACCTCAGTCAATCAAACTTCACAACCTTATCGATTGAGCTTCCTCTTAGTTTCAAAACTCTATGCTTGACACTTTAATGGTATCATGGTACTATGACGAACGGCGTATGCTACCAAGATAATGGCCATGTTTCACAGTCATACAATAGAGCAAAGGACTGTAAGAGTTAAATTTATTCTTACAAACTTTAAACTACCTGACTTTCATAACCTCAGTACGTGAAGCTGGGTTCGAACCCGTAACCCATCCATTGGAAAACAAGTACTCAAACCAATGAGTTACACCTTCATGACTTCCTATACAACAGAATAATAAAATCGACAAGTTCAATGAATAGTGCACTATACTAATTTACTTTCAAAGAGTAAAAAAATAGGGACAAGTAATACTAAAAGCAATGAGTTATACCAATTATGAGCAGCTTCGTGATAGATACTACCTGGTAGTCAAAGCCTCGCCATGTAAAGACTAGACGACTCATAGGCAGTGCATTTCGTCAGATTATAAAAGTTGCCAGTAAGTAGTTTATCATAACCTAATTACTTTCCTGTGTACAGCGATCCATATGATAAAGCTCAGTCTGGAATTACCAGTCATAAGGTCAATAGAATAAAACTCATCCATCTACATAACATCAATGAAAATCTCCATTACATAAACTAATTAACGCAATAATCTTGGACATAAAAAATAGGATGGTATACATATCTATTTCGATAAGCGATAAACCAATTCATTTTAAAGCTTATTATGACCTTGTTAATTACATACACTTTACCAGTAGACAAGGGGCTCAGAATTAAGACAAAATGACGATACAGTAATAAAAAAAGATGTAGACCTGGTAACCTGCCTAAAACATGGAGTTACTAAAACATTTTCCACTGTATATTATATATATATATATATATATATATATATATATATATATATATATTGCGTCTTAGCTACTTTTTAAGTTATTTTTATCATCTACATATGTTCTGAAATTGTATTGTGTACTTCAATGTATTTTTAAACAGTTGCTATGCAAGTTTATAACACAAAAAAGATACTATGAAGGATGAAAATGAGCTCTTTAGCGCACATGAATACATACATCATGACCTATAGGACCAGATAATTTGGAAGTGAGGCTAATAGCGACTAACAGACATTGGATGATAATAGTCACTTTTTGTTATAATGAAATGACAGATAGAGAAATTAGTGGACCATTGAATTCTGACCCAATGGTTGAATAGTAGCACACCCTCACCACCTGGTCCAACAGTCCTAGGATTGATCCACCCTAGGGTCATCGGTGTGTACTTTGAGAAAAGCTAACAAGTTGACAAAAGATGCGAGGCAGCGGAGACTGGACTTCAAGTGAACGTAGAGAAGACAGAGGTGATGAAGATACCCAACCTACGTTATCACCAACAACAACAACAACAACAAGCTCCAATCACCATTAACGGGAGAAACTTAAATGAAGCAGCCTCTTTCACCTATCTAGGCAGTACTGTTTCAACTACATGTGGCGGTGGCACAGACGAGGACGCCAAAGCCAGTCAGGATCGGAAAGACAGTAAGATAGGCGTTCATTAGTCTGAAACCAGTGTGGAGGTCTTCTGCACTCCACTCAGCATAAAGCGTGAACAACATCCGGATTTTTAACAGCAATATCAAGCCAGTGCTTCTGTATGGTTCACGAACTTGACGAGTTACGATAAGCATTTTCAACAAACTACAGACATTCATCAACAACTGCCTACGCTGGCTCGTTACTGAAGCTCAGATGGCCAGAAAGAAACTAACATAAGTTGATCCTATACTACTTGAAGTGTGCAGGCAGTTGACACTTTACGGCTGCTCACGCCATGGAAGGTTGGTTCTTCTTGGAGTACCTGAAAAAGAAGGGTAGGTGTGTAACTGAAGAACCTATGGGACATCTGCTTGAGGCTTGTCACACATGCCGTTTTGTCAAGTTTGAGATTTTGGTTTTTGCATTTAAATCCGACTACGAATCCCTATTGCAAGCATCATTGTGTCACGAGGGGAGGGGAGTGTGCTACTTTTTGGGGTCGACTTTTCTAACCCCCCTCCCTTCCTATAGCGAAGGTAACATCAACGCGGCACTGCTACTATTCTCACATCCACGTCCAGTAAGTAGTACGACTTCGTCCTTAAACCTTTATTATAGCGTAGCAACACACACTATGCTAGTAGCTGCTTTTTGTCATTAAGCCACTGGGTCAGATTCCAATGGTTTACATTTTCCTACTTCTTTCAATTCCCAATATAACGCAACTTTCACTAAATACCAACGTGGAATATTTTTCTTTACGTCCGAAATGGTTTATCCTCACCGCAAGTCATGGGAGCGTACTGATGAGGAGTCCCATGCCGACGCCAATCCCTGAGGAGACTCATTATTCCGGTGCACTTCGGAGGGTGTTAGCTGGTTGGAAGCAATCGACAGGAATCCCTGACTAACCTAGGTCTCCCACTTGTTGGCACTCGCCACCAGGGTGAATCTGTAAATTCGAAGGGAATCATATCCCCTTTGATATTCGGACCACGACCGATCTCCTGTAGGACTCAATTAGATAAGCTGATTGACCAACTGAAGAACTAGTAATTTCATGTTGTCTAGTTTTGAGTACTAGTTAAATGATCGACAGAAATTGGTTGTTGCCCAGTTATTAATCAATATATCTAATCCAGTCTTACATGAGGTCTACCACACACGAATAGCTCAATGGTAACTTCTCGAACTACAGTAATGGGTTTCCTTAAGGTGAAAGATACGCCTTACTGATGAGTGACAATAAATGGAAAACTTAGATCTACAGCTTCCTACCAATTACTTTCAACCAACTAACGCTTTCAAATTAATTATGACAAAAAAAATAATTAAAACATTGTGTACATGTATGCATAAACTTAAACAGTTAGAGAAGTTTAGTAAAAACAAATAACGTGAACGAAGAAATATTTCTTTTCAAATATTAGTTCCTTATCAATGGCTCTGTGAAAAAAAAGCTACAAGGCAGTACTAGACCACTACGATCCATCCTCCGTGCACCAATACATGTATTAACCTTTATTTGTTTGAACCAAACTTTCAGAAGACGAGTATACTACCCTGTAGTACTGTTGTACAGCTGTAAGATATATCCGTTGAAAGTAGACGATATGAAGTGTTCACTATACTATAGTGTGTTGGAATAAGTCCAAAGTTAAACAGTTAAACATACTTAAGAGGAGTTCAGAAATACCATAACACAGTTGACCGATCCTAATTGATGTATAATTAACAGTAATGCAAAAATTCCCATTTAGGTATTTAGTAAAACAAACAATATGAGCGAAAAAATATTTTTTTTTTAATTATTGGTTACTCATCAATAGCTCAAAACGTAAAACTACTTACCAATGTAATGGTGAGAGTTGTTTAATGACAGGTTATCAGTCTCAAAGTATTAACAGGGTGATAATTGATCAGGTGATTACGACAATTAACTAAAGTATAGGAGATTAATTATAGCAGAAAGATTTTGTGAAATTTCAAACAGGTTCGCATAAACTTGAAGATCTAGAGAAAAAAACCCAACAAGTTGACAGAAGAGGCAGCGGAAACTGGACTTCAAGTGAATGTAGAAAAGACAGAGGTGATGAAGATACCCAACCAACGCCACCAACAACAACAACAACAAGCTCCAATCAGCATCAACGGGAGAAACTTAAAGGAAGTAGTCTCTTTCACCTACCTCGCTAGGCAGCATCTTTTCAACTAAAGGTGGCTTCACAAACGAAGATTTCAAAGCTGGGATCGGAAAAGCAAGACAGGTCTTCCTTCATTAACCTGAAACCAGTGTGGAGATCTTCTGCACTCAGCACAAAGTGTGAATAACATCCGCATTTTCAACACCAATCCAGTCAAGTTAGTGCTGCTATATGGTTCAGAAACTTGGCGTGTCACAAAAATCACTTCCAACAAACTACAGACATTCATCAACAGCTGCCGCCTACGCTCACTCAATACTGAAGGTCAGCTCTGGGAACGAACCAACCAACAACCTATCACCCAACAAATATATAGAAGAAAGTGGACATGAATTGGGCATACACTGAGAGGACAATATAGAGACATCACGCGCCAGGCCAGGTCAGGCCCTCGAGTAGAAGCCAAAGGGGAAACGACGAGTTGGACATCCGAGGGTGACATGGGGGAGATCATGTGAGGAAGAAATGAAAGCTTCTGGGCAGTCGTGGAGCCAAGTTGAACAGAGAACAGACGGCAATGGAGACGTGCTACTGAAGCCCTGTGTTCCACTAGGAACCCAAGGGGAAAATAATAATAATAATAATGGTAAATAACGCGAGGAAAGAAGTGAAGATGAATTGTTGCGTCAAATTGGGAAATTGTTGGCGGTAATTAGAGACACTAGGGGAAGAACAAAATGCCTAAAACTGTAATAATAATAATAAGAAGAATAAGAAGAATAGAGGTACTACAAATACAAGTCTGTCAAACTACGGCTACCTCAGATACTCAAATCATAATCAATATGATGCTCCCCTTCCCCACTAATTCAGTTACATTTCGAATGGGATGAAAAGTCCTGACTCGATTGGGTAGCTAGTGTGAATACGATCAAGCGGTAGTAACGCATCACGAACTCACATGGTAGTCGGGCAAAACCCATCTTGGTGATTGAAGTGAAATAAAATTCTGGTTAGCAATCAGAACTCGTAGCTCAGTTGGTAGAGCACCGGGCTGATAACCCGTTGGTTGCTAGTTTGAATCCGGCCGCGGTCCAGATTTTCACCTCACCTTCAATCATCACCTAATAACAAAAACTGGTCTGCTTAACTACAGGCTAACTCAGATAGTCAAATCATTACAATATCAGTTATAATCATTTGTGGAATGAATGAAAGGAAGGGTTGTTTCGTAATAGATAAGCTATATTGATGGTTAAGGCAAAGAAAGAGACTGTACACATTTCTTCTGAACACACAGAGACTTGACCTGTTTAGGTGGATTCCAATAGCTTCTATTGTATGTAAAAGACGAACTCATAGAGCATTGATGAGTGAGATTACAAAGAATATGATCAGTGTCAATCATATGATAGCTTCGCATCGATCTGGTTTATTATTTTTATTATTAGTCCCTTGGGTTCCTAATGGAACATAGGGCTTCAGTAGTACGTCTCCATTCTACTCTGTTCTATGAAATCTTTTCAACCTGGCTCCATGACAGCCCACAAGCTCTCATTTCCTCCTCCCAAGATCTCCTCCATGTCACCCTCGGCACCAACGCCCAACTCGTCGATTCCCATGGGGATTCCACTCGAGTACCTGGCCTGACGCGTGATGTCCTCAGTCGGTCTTCTCAGTGTATGCCCAATCCATCTGCACTTCCTCCTGCATATTTGTTGCGTGATAGGTTCTTGGTTGGTTTTTTCCCAGAGCTCCTTGTTGCTTATTCTTTCTGGCAATCCATCTGATCTTCAGTAATGAGCCAGCGTAGGCAGTTGTTGAGGAATGTCTGTAGTTTATTGGAAATCCCTTTCGTAACCCGCCAAGTCTTTGAGCCATACAGAAGCACTGACGACTGAATTGGTGTTGAAAGTCCGCATCTTGTTCCATATGCTGAGTGCAGATCTCCACACTGGTTTCAGGCTAATGAACGCCTGTCTTGCTTTTCCCTTTCTGACTTTGACATCCTTGTCTGTGCCACCACCTGTAGTTGAAATGATGCTTCCTATATAGGTGAAACACGCTACTTCCTTTAAGTTTCTCCCGTTCATGGTGACTGGAGTTTGTTGTTGTTGTTGGTGCGGTATCTTCATCACTTCTGTCTTCTCCATATTCACCTGAAGTCCCGTCTTCGCTGCCTCTTCTGCCAACTTGTTAGTTTTCTCCTGTAGATCTTCAAGTTTGTGTGACATCAGACACAAGTAATCATTGGCGAAATCCAGATCTTCTAGGTTCTTTTCTACAGTCCAGTGTATCCCCTTCTTATCGATCTAGTTTACTCTCTCTTTACCTAGCCGTGAACAATGATGCTTAGAGATTTGACAACAGACTTGCCTTATTATACATCAAATGTAAAAGAAATAATAACTCACTTCATCGTTTTTCTTTATTATATTTATTTGTAAGTTATTAATTTCATTATTACAAGTAATTAACTGATTATTTACATTGAATAATTCACTTTGTAATTGATCAATTGTAGAAGAATATACTTGATAACGATTATTTGTTGTCTTAAGAATTATATCAATATTTTCATTAATTATATTAAGACGATGCTCAGATGTTTCAAGTATATTCCAAATAGGATTTAATTTAATATTCATTTGTTCAGATTGTTCTACAAATAATTCACAAATTTGATTGGATAACATGACTAATTCATGTATATCCTGTTGATATCCTTCAGAATTATTATTGAATACTTTATTCAAAGAAATATTCTCTTGTATAGATGAATTTAATTGAGATTTAAGTTTTTCAATGAAATCATTAGCTTTGATAAGTTCTATTTTCAACTTTTCTTGTTCAATATTCATTTCTGTTTTAAGTTGTATTTTTAAATCTTCCAGTTGATTCTCTGTACTATTTAAGATCTGTTGAAGTGATTGAATCTAGTGGCGGGGGAGGGAGGAGGAAAGGCGACAAATTAAACATTGTTGTATGATTAACTTGGCTAGTTAAAATGCTTCTTAATATATATCGCTGAATAAGATAAAAGTTAAGCATTTTTCAATCCCTGTAGCACTTAATTTTCAAGTCATAGCCTCTGAGTTCGAGCACAGTTCCATTAGGCATAATTTACAGAACAATTTAAAAAGCGCGCAAGTAGATCTAGTTCACCGGATTGTTAAAATTATCGTTTCTTACTTATTTCATTCATAGGCTCAAGAATCTAAGCAATCTATCAGATAGGAAGATAATGATTCACACTTCACACTGTGATTCACCAAGATAAAACACTTTCATGTTACACCTTGCGTTCGAGTCTTAGTGGGAACAACATCACTTACTGAGACGTAAGTAAATCCAGTCAAGGAGTCCCAGATAAGACGAAAAGTGCATTCTGATTCCCATTGATAGCTACTAGAAACAGGATTTGTAGGTTAAAAGATCCTATCCATGTAATCTAGCGAAATAATCTGGTTTACCAAATCCCTTACAATGAATGTGAGGTCAAATATGTGGGTGAAAGTAGTCGATTAGAATAACAGAGCACAAAATTTTAGCTAAATCAAGATTAGTAGATCCTAATAAGATGAGAAATTCGGAGAAAAGCTCAGCTATAGCACTCCATACAATCACACAGTAGGGTGGGTGAAGGGAGGGAGAGATTGATAGCCGAATCTTTTTTATCGAATCAACATCAAATATATTCAGTAATAGAAATGGTGGTGCACCTGTCCCAGATACGTAGAAAACTCTACAACTCTTGTCATTACAGAGAAGGAGAGAGTAGACTAGGACTACATAAACTATGTTTCAAAGTTGTGGAGTTCCCTGATATGAATTTGGACAATAAATTGTGTCCAAAGCATAATCCAGTAAATGATACTGTTCCTTCACTTTGTAACATTTCTAATAAGAAGGACTATGATGGATTTATAAACCACCGCAGTGCCCAAGTTTTACTCCTGTATTAACTTTGTACATACACCTAGGGTACCGTACATTTAAAGACAGTTAAACAAATATATTTAAAGACCAAGTCCAGGGCCTCCTACCGATTACCTGCATCCAACTAACATCTACCAAAGTGTATCGTGGTGCTAAGCTATCTAGTCTGGCGGCCATATTGCAAAATAATCAGTGGAATTCGGTTAGCACACAGGACTAGACAACATGAAGTTGGTTACCCTCCAGTGACCAATCAATGTATCTAATCCAGTCTTACGGGAAGTCAGTCATGACTTGAATATTTCAGTGGTAACGTCGCTGATCACGAGATTCGGTGATGTGACTTCGAATCTCATCATTTCAATTGGGTTTGCCGATACGCCTTGCTGATGAGCGCCATCAAGCACGAAACCTAGGTCTAGGGCTTCCTGTCGGTTGCCTCCATCCAAGTAACATCTATCAAAGGCCACTCAAATTACCAACGTAATTCCTAGAAAAGATCAAAAACATTAACATAGAAAACGACGAATTAATGGTATCCTTCGGTGTCACAGCACTATACACATCCATCGAACCCCATTTGGCCAAGGAAACTATGTCTCCCCTGCTCAATGAGGAAACAAGCCTTACAGAACGCACAAAACTTAAATGTTTAGGTCTGGTGGAACTCATCGACCTTTGTATGACAACATACTTCTAATTCAACGGCAAGATATGCAAACAGATGAAAGGAACTCCAATGGGATCACCGATATCCGGATTGGTTTCAGAAGCAGTGATGCAGAGAATGGTATCCGTTATTCTACCTGTGATCAAACCAAAAATTTGGACTCGCTATGTGGACGACACTTTTGTCATCATTAAAAATAATGATATAAAAAACACCCACAGTTTGTTCAACAACGTTTTCAATGACATCAAATTCACAATGGAGAAGGAGTCGAACAACCAGCTACCATTCCTAGATGTTTTAGCCAGGATGACAAATACCGGAAAACTAGAAACCTAAGTTTACAGGATGCCAACACACACTGATCAAATCCTCAACTAAAGTAGCAACAACCCAACGACACACAAAATCAGTTACGTGCAGACTCTATTCAAAACAGCGAGAACACAGTGAAGTACAGCTTCACGGAGAAACTAAGAAAATTACTTGGTGTCCACCCTGAAGAAGAACGGCTACCCACGAAACTTTGTCACAAGGTGCCTATCCCTTACATCATCAACTATAAGGTCATTGACAGAGATAAACAAACGCATCATCCTACCATAATGCATAAAGAATATATCAGAAATCACAAGATTACTGAGACCAATTAGTGGAACTGGTGTGGCTCATAAACCAACAAATTCCCTCCAAACACTATTATGAAGACCAAACAATGCGACAACCAAAGAAGATAAACCGAATATCATTTACAAAATCAACTTCAATAACTGTAGTCAACACTGCATTGGACAAACTGGTCGGCTTCTTCACCTTCGTCTACATGAACACCAATCCACTATTAAACGTTACACACGACATCTCATCACTTATTTCAATGCACGTGGATAACAACTATGGACATGAATTCAATTTCAACAATGTACAAATGTTGGATAGAGAGAGAATTCCTAGAAGCTTGGGATTCAGGTCAGTCAGTCAGTCAGTCAGCAATCAACAGATGTATAGATATAGACCCAATCTATCAGCTAATAAGAAAGATGATAAACTTGGTTGTATTGTGTTTTCTGAGCTGGGTTGTTTAACTTTATATTGAAGAATAGTTCAACTGACCCTTAGCAATGCTCCAGTTATCCAACATTCAGTCTGAATCCAAGCGCAACGTAGATATCGGTCCTTCAACTCCCCTTGAAGTCGAGAAGGCTGCTTTAAAACATATAGGCTTATTAGTGTTTGTTTGAGCTCAAAAACTAAACTTACACTGCTACATACTAACTTCGAGTCTTTGTAATCAACATATACAACGAGTTATTAATGGGACAATAGCTGTGGAATGTTTGAATATATAAATCGTTCAGATGACAAAAAATGTGTGAAGCGTCATTAAACCCTTTACAATAGGTATGATTGTTGTTGATTTACTACTCTTGAATAAATGGTCATATCGAAATCGAATCGAAATCCACGCATATTCATGCAGTAGACAATAAGTCAAACCTATTATGTGAGGGCTACTGATAATACTGCCTTGTTGTCAAAACCTTGCTAGGTGTAGTGGGGTTCGAACCCGTGGGTCACTGGTTTAAAATTAACTTCCTAGACCAATAAACCACAACTATGTAAATGACCGTTTACTTGGTTATGCATGTAACACATATCATATATAAATTCTATTGTTTAACTGTACTGAATTCGATTTGATGCTTGATAACTGATAATCGAGTGCATCACCTACACAGACGCACCTCTACAGTCTATGTTTAAAGCTATGGTGGACAACCAAAATCGAAATGCACTCAGCAATCGTATGCATACTCTTCCAGTAGGCAAAGAGTTATACCTCTTTTTTACGGTTAATGGTGCAACCAAACTGCTTAGACTTCAACAAATGGAGTACAATTCGAAGCCATGAACCATCGATTAAAAACCAAGGGTGTACACTAATGAGCCACACCTCCTCATAGTGGACAATACTAAGCTCTGTATATAGTGACTGGACTACTGTTATATTTGTTATGTCATTTTGACTATCTGAGATAGCCCTGTGGATTCGGAAATTCTCATTGATACTGGGTAATGTTCGAAGGATTAGAACCAGTAACCATCGAGTTTCCAGCTCGGTGCTCTGCTAATTGAGCTACAAGGTCCAACTGCTGACCAGAATTTTATTTCACTTCAATCACCAAGATGGGTTTTACCCGACTACCATATGAATTCGTGATGCGTTACTACCGCTTGATTGCATTCACACTAGCTGCCCAATCGAAATCTAACTGAATTAGAGGGGAAGGGGCGCATTAAATTGATTATCATTCTGACTAATTGAGATAGGAGTAGTTTGGCAAACCAGTATTGATACTGGGTGGTGATTGAAGATGAAATGAAAATTTGGACTGCACCCAGATTAGAACCAGTAACCTCTGGTGCTTGGAGTGAAATAAAATCTGGTCAGTAGTCGGACCTCATAGATGAGTCGGTAGAACACCGAGCCAGAAACTTGGTCGTCGCTGGTTCGAATCCAGTAATAAACGTATAATAATTTAGAATATTTTATTACAGACAAAATAAGAATTTTAGCTTTTTACCTCATCAGATAGAAATTTATTTTCATTTGTTAAATATTCAATTTTTGAATTTGTTGTTTCATCCGAAGATTTCTTAATTTGTTCTATATCATTTCTCAATGAATTAATTTCAGACTCATACTTTACAGATTGTTCATTCAATTGACAATGTAACTCAAATTGATGGTTATCTTGTAAGTTAATAAATGATTGTTTTAAACACTTCAATTCTTCATTAACTGTTAACAATTCATTTGATTTAGCGGTAAATTTATCTTGTTCAATATTCAATTGTTTTTCAGTATTCATCAATTTTTCAGTTACACTTTTATAATCATTTAACAATTGTGTATACTGATCATTAGATTTTTGTAAATCTTCTTTCAATTTGATAAGAGAATGATTTAAAGTATTGTGATTATTATGATTATCAACTTGATTATTTGTTAAATGTTCAATGGATTGTTGATCTTTTTCATGTAACGTTTCAAGGTCAGATAACTTATTTTCAAGATTTGTTTGAATTTCCAAGTGTTGTAAAACTTTCAATTCTAATTCACTTTTTAATTTATGCATTATATCAAGTTGATTTTGTACAACATTTAATTCTTTATCAATTTGTGTATATTTCAATTGTAAATCAGAATACTTTTTCATTTCATTTTGTAGATTATCTTCAACATTTGATAAACGTTGTTTATAATCATTTTGTAAATCTTTAATTTGTACAATCAGTTTATCTACAAGTAAATGTTGATCTTGTTCACTTGATTGAGAAGAAGTTAACTCATATTCAAGTGATCTTTGAATAGATTGATTTTCGTTTAAATTATCTGTTAATTCATTTAATTGGGATACTAAATATTTAACCTTGTCATAGTGACATATTTGTCCTTCATAAGTGACCTTGAGCGCGTTAACAAGTAACTCAGTGAAACATTGAACATCATGGATATTTTCAAAATTAAGTGAATTCAAAGAATTATTATTATCAGGGAATAATAATTGAAGTGATTTTTCATTAAATTTACTAAATAAATCTATTTTTAATTGTTTCATCTGATTCAATAATGTTTTTAAATTGTTATTCTGTTGTTTTATATCATTAAATGAATTAATTTCTATTTTTAATTCATCAATTTGTTTTAATTGTTCTATTTGTGTAGCGTTAAATTGTTCAATATCACTTTTAGCTTGATTCAATTGTATAGTTAATTCAGAGTTGAGTATTTGTAAATTGGATAGATCAGTTTTTAAACTGATTATCTCAGAGTTGTAAGCTGTATCATTAAGATCAGTGTTAAATGGTGAAGTGTTGACCTGTAATTTACTCAAACTTAGTGATTCTTTTAGATTATTGATTTGTTCTGTTAAATGTTTTTTAGTATCTTCAGAATCAGTTAATTTCTCATGTAATTCCTTTACTTGATGTGATAAAGTCTCAATTGTATTCAGCGTAGCATCATCATCATTACTTACCGGTTGCGTAGCAACACAACTAGATTCTGTGGTAATATACAGTTTATTAAGTTGTGTATTTAAAGTCGAATCATATTTTTCTAATTTTTGAGAATTTGTATAAGGGAGATTGAAAAACTGAGCTTTCAAACACTTAACTTGTTCTTCTAATGCTACTTGAGATAATTTACTATCAGCTAATTCAGAGCGTAATTTATTAACATTCTGTTGATCACACTATGAAAAAGAAAAGAACATAGCGAATAGTATAAATTCGAAGGGGAAAGAAAGTCGAAATTCATTCAGTGAGCACATATACGTTCGAATTGTACACAATAAGCTACACACCTGTCATGTCAGACCTCAGGAAGTGAAGCGTAATTCGAACTCCTAACCCATCCAGTGGGACCTAGATCAATAAAGCCATAGCACTATAATAATCATGAAGTCATCGGTCCAGAAGGATTTCCCTTAGCTATATACACCCACCCTTCATGCCAATCAAATAGTCACAGAGAAGTGGTGAATGCCATTAAATGATATAAAAAGGAGACAATTCGACACGACTATTTTTAGAAGACTTTGTAAAGGAATATCTTCGATGAATAATTATGAAATGGATCTGTTACCATTCACCTTTAGCACAAATAATGGAAATGTAAACAGAGACTAGATAAAATAATTGATATGATTGAATCGGATCTATTATTCTTTGTCAGTATGCACTGTACTTAATCCAATATGGAATTATACTCTACCCCAATAGGTAGACAAAATCAACATAGTAGTTCCAACACAAAGACAATGGTTCAATTTGCCACATTTCATAGTAGTACACCTACCACCTACACACCCACCGACTGTAGTTCGGATGACGCAAAAGATGAATTCTATAAGTGTGCGCCAAGTCATCGCTTACCTCGGAGTGCCATGCTAGGGGGAAAGTTGGATTAGGATGGAAGAGCACTCAGAATGGCCAAGCCAAGACCTCGCGCTAGTCAATGAAGTCTCTCACTGTTGGCATGAGCCTGGTTAGGGTCCCCGAAACAAAAGGAAACAATGGTTGAGGAGTCTTGGTGACATAGTTACAATGGTGTAGATGTATTCACTCCGTAACATCTTCAAAAGCTTGAATATTCACACTAATTTTTGTCTTCAGATTGTTTATTCTCTCATACTACTTTATCTACTTTGATGTCCCTCCTTTTCTGCCCACCTGTTCCTTGTGTACTAATATGAAGTGTGGCAACTTGAGTCGATGCACTCATGTGCAAGGTTCTACGTTGATTTTGTCAGTCAGTGTCAGTCAGCACATAATTAACAGTTGCATAGAAATATTGGCATTATATGCTGTTTGTATCCAAAAATGCAGGTTCTTCGACTAATAGCACCCACCCACCTCATAGTGAAGAGAACCGAAACTGACCTTATATGAAGCGCCAACCTTGAAGACAATATTGAATGGTTTAATGATGAGGCCTTACGCTTCGTGGGCTGCAGAATGAGAACAGTTTTTGGACTGAGTTGTAACTTTAGCTTAACTTATTCCTGTGAATTTGTTTCCAATGACACAGAACCAAGCAATCACTACATGCTTCATGATACCGAGTGACACTGGTTCCAAGCTTTTTCATCGGTCCATACCATGATTTGAATCTAGTTTTACGTGCTCTCTATGAACAGAAATAAATTATTGACTATTCACACCTTTTTAAGCCTTACTATTGTTCGGCGTTTGATATCCTACATACGTTTACTGATTATGCGACTCATTGATTGAAGTGTAGAGGCCTAATCACAGGTGCCTGCTTAAAGCTCATACTGGGTGATAAAGCCGGTGTTATTATTCACTACTGTTATATAGCGAAAGGGTTGGTATCTAATATCTTTAGCCAGCAACAGTTGAATAACTGCATCCTGGCAGACTATGTATGGTGTAGAGATGTATTCTTTCTAACTTTTCTCAAACTCACAAACAACAATGACATTCAGATATTGCCTGTAAAAATGGCATGTGTTCGTATAATTTATTATTCGAGATATATTATTATTATTATTATTATTATTATTATTATTATTATTATTATTATTATTATTATTATTATTATTGTAGAAAAAGAGTGGTATCAAGGCAGATAAAGTTGTGTGGGAGAATAAACAATCTGAAAATGAAGGTCAGTGCAGATATTCAAGGTAAGATGGCTGTCAATCAGGATCCAATCAAGCGATGTGTTTCCTGCCTTAACAGCTGATGCTTTGCCTTAACCTTCAAGACCATGAGAACTGATCAACGAATTTCTAGAAACTCGAAAGATGAATTTTGCGGATTCACCACATAAGGTAGGTGAAGGGTGAACTGAATAACCGCACTTGGATCCTGTATCTATGTTAAGCGAACATAGCACACGTTCATGGCTCAAGATATCAGAGTTCTGGCTAGTGAAGCTTGTCGGCCGATTCAATGGACGGTGTGGACAGTGAAACTGAATGAGTGATAAAATCAACGTAGAACCTCGCACAGAAGTGCAACGGCTCAAGTTGCCACACTTCACAGTAGCACACAAAGAACAGGTGGACAGAAAAAGAGTAATATTAAAGTAGACAAAATTGAGTGAGAGAATAAGCAATTTGAAGGCAAAGGTTAGTGTGAATATTCAAGCTCAAGATAACAAGGAGTAAATACATCTGTACTATTGCGACTGCTTTTCAACCATATCACCAAGATTCCTTAACCACTGACTGCCCTTTCTCTCCCAGATCTCAGCGAGGTAGTCCATAGTATCCGCACGCGGCTCAGATATACAGTCAGAGAGTTCATGGACTCATGCCACTTCTTGGTCTGGCTACCCTGAACCCTCTTCCAACCTAATCTAACTTTCCCCAAGCATAGCACTTCGAGGTGGGCGATGGATTGGCATGCGTAGTACACGTTCAAGTCATCTCAATCAATGGAGGTTGACAATCTCATCAATCAACTCACCTACCTTACCTATTACCCTGCATCTGACCTTAACATTGATCATACGGTGATCAAAAGCAGGCGATACTATCACAATGCATCCAGTAAGGCTTAACTGCTACATGTTAGGAATTCAGGTGATTATTTAGATCGTTTAAGAATAAATAATCGTGTTTACAAATGACAGAACTCCGAACTTGAAATGTTTTTCTCCTTTCTTAAGTATTTACATTACGTGGCCTAAGTAAATAAACGAGCCATTGCAAAGAATTAATTTGCTCCTGAGGATTGGCTACGAAGCAATAACTCATGGCGTCAACCAGGTCATAATGAGGAAAGATACCTTAACTAATAGCGCTGGAAGATGGTCTCAATATATTACAAAATGACTGAAGTTAGGAAATACCAAACCAGTCATCATCATCCATCAACATAGGACCAGGCATTACTGCGTAACAGTACAACTTCCCACAACTCATCTCATATCACTACATCAAGTAAAAAGGAAGTCAAGCACAAGATCAACATAAGAAAATTCAGTCAAAAGAAATATAAAGTAATCAAAGAGAGAAAGAAAGAATGAGAAAATGGTGAGATTCAGTATAGCGTCACTGACATCCATCCTCAGACATATCACCTACAATCAGTCTCCAACCATTGCTTTCTCTTCTCTCACACACCCCAACCCACCTAGTCTGCATCGCCCCACATGGGTCAAACCAACAGTCAAACACTTCATACACTGATGCCATCTTTTAGTCTGGCCACCTCGGGCCTTTTTACAGCCTGAACCTACTTCCCCCAACATTTTGTGACGAGGAAGATGACAACTAGGCATATGTAACACATGTCCCAACAATCTCAGTCAATGGAGGTTCACAACCATGTAAACTGACTTACCCCTTCTCCCTAAAAATCTACACATGACTTTTGAGTTACTCACCTGGTGGCACCACGGAATACAGCTTATACTACGAAGACAACGGTCGTCAAACACCAGAAGTCGTCTCACGTCTTCTACCTTCACTGGCTATGTTTCACAGCCATAAAGTGGAACAGACCGGACTGCTGTGCAGTACACGCCACCCCTAATAGATAATCGGATATCACGGTGGCGCCATAGGTGGCATAAGTTGGAGAAAGCCAGCCGAGCCTTTTGTATCCGTGCAGAGATCTCATCGACCACTGAACCAGTAGGGCTGATCCTATCACAAAATGACTGGAATACCAAACCAGTGATAACCTCTGTGACAGTAGCACTGGATGACGGTGTTTCGAATCTCAGACGAGAAATCCGTTCCGTCACAGCTGCAGACATACCATGCTGACGAGTGCAAAAAAGCATGAAATTAAGGTCCAGGGTTTCCTACTGATCGTCTCTATCCAACTAAAATATTAACAACCGGTTAGGGTGTGGTCACGAAATTTGAAGGTTTCGGATTCGATTCTATAGGTGATTGAGAGTGAGAATTGCTAAGGGTACTCAAACTTGAATTAAACACCTATTTGGTGTTTTGTAGACTCTCAATGGTTTACCAGATGAAGTCACTTCACAAAAACCACTTTTAGGATAATAAATTCTAATCAACTAAGCATCCTAGACTGAATGCTTAAAATACCGGTCTAATGTGTATATTAGATCGCTTAATTTGGCTACAGTACATCTTAGGATGCCGCTAAATAGCGAAATGCATGTATATTACAGGGGCACAGTGCCTTATATCGCTAAAAGTAATCAGATGGCAACAGAAATCGAACTGAAAAGAATAGCAGTTAATTCGACTGAAAGTTATATTCAATAACCGAGTCGTATGCCCCAATTGTAAGTCAAGTAAGGCGCTAGAATCCTCATTTATTTCAGATTGTCATACATTTTAGGCTTTCGGGCGAAATTCTATATTACGGTGAAAAAGTGAACTAGTAGCAACCAGATCATTAAAATACTTAACACCTAAACATAAGATAGTAAAATATATAAATCCTGGTCAAGACTTGACTGGACCGTTTCACAAATATTGGGCATCGATTGAAAAGTTGACATTGTATTTAAACAAATCTTAGCGTGTTTGAACAGACAAACAAAAGGCATTGCGATGAGGTCTCCGAGTATCCCTGATAGTTGTCAATTTGTCCATACAATGACAAAATGTTACGCTACTCCTAGAATATGGTCGAAATATGTGGGTGATACGTTTGTCATTGTTAAGCGCATTAACTTGGATAAACTTTTCAGACATATAAAAAACCGTTATCCAAAGAGATTGAATCCACTGTCAACCAATCGGCTTTTCTGGACCGCATGGTCGTAAGACAGCAGAACAACAACAAAATGGAGATAAATATTTTCAGAAAACCAAAGCATGCAGATAAATACCTTTAATTCCACGCCCAGCCCATTGGACACAAGACCAAGAAGAGGAGTAGATGTAGGTTCACACCACTCTAGTAAAAAGAACCTTCAAAATCAAGTCAAAGGCCTTCAAAGAAGTTGATGATAGGCGACAGTTCAAGTTTGAGTTCAACACTCAGAAACTGAAGCACGAAACGTCAAAGGATATCTTCACGTCAGTCAGTTATCAGGAAAAAATGGGAGGTAATCTGCGTGGAAGAACACTGGAACCCTTTGGAAGAGATGCGGAAAGAAATCTGCATAACCGTATTCGGGAGGAAGAAGAAAGAAGATAAGGAATGGATTTCAACGGACACATGAAAGCTGACAGAACAGAGACAGAAAGATGATGAAGCAAAAGATGAACCAGTGCAAGCATGAACAACGAAAAGAGGAACTTAACACAACCTATAAAACACTGGACAGTGAAGTGAAAAAGAGTGCACAGAAAGACAAAAGACACTTCTACGACACACCTGCAACTGAAGCAGAACAGGCTGCAGGTAGGAGAGACCTGACAACATTGTATCAAATAACCAGGCTACCATATGGGAGGGAAGAGATCGACACAGATGAAACCAACGAAAGATAGTGAAGAAAACCTAGTTACCAAAGAGGAGAAACAAAGGAAACGATGGGCTGGTCACTTCAAAAAGCTCTTGAATCGACCACCACCTGCAACTCGTCTGGAAATACCACCACCAGAAACTGCAGAATTACCAGTGAACATAAGCCCTCCGACAGAAGTCGAAGTCCTGAACGGCATAAAGTCGCTGAAATCTGGGAAAGCAGCAAGACCAGATGCAATTCCACTGCAAACAGTGAGAACAGACACAGGGACAACAGTAGACATGCTCACATCACCACTGCAAAAGGTTTAGAAGGATACCTGCCGATTGGAATAAGGGCTGGTCACACTTCCAAAAAAGTATTTGCAAGAACTGGCGGGGAATCACGCTTCTGTCCACCCCAAGCAAAATACTAAACAGCATCATCCCAGAGAAAGAGACTACAAACTGCGCTGGACTCAAAGTTACCACCGCATCAGGCTGGCTGGATTCATGAAGTACAAATCATATGCGAATCAAATTGCAACGCTACACTATACATCATCATAGAACAGAACACAGAATGGCAGTCAACTGGATCTTTGCCTCAACTTCATCGATTTTGAAAAGGCCTTCGACAGCACCGACCGAGAAGTAATTTGGAAGGCAGCTGACTCAACACTACGCTTTTAGTTCCACAAACCTTTATCAACCACATTCAACAGCTATATGAAGACGCCACATGCCAAGTGATTCACAATGGAAAGCAGCTTAGTGACACCTTAGAAGTGAAGACAGGGGTAAGACAAGAATGCCGCCTGCTATCACCAATGATCTTCCTGATTGTGGTCGACTGGATCATGCAACAAACCGTGAGAAGCGAGGAGAGGGGTATACGTTGCTTGACCGATGAAAAGAGACTAGAAGATTTGGATTTTGCCGATGATTTATGCTTAATGTCGCACAAACTCGAAGATCTACAGGAGAAAACTAACAAGTTGACTGAAGAGGCAGCGAAGGAAGACGGGAGTTCAAGTGAATGAAAAGAAAACGGAGGTGATGAAGATACCCAACGAACAACAGCATCAACAGCAAGCACCAATCACCATGAACGGGAGAAACCTAGAGGAAGTAGTCTCTGTCGCCTACCTGACTAGGCAGCATCGTTTCTACTATAGGCGGCACAGATGAGGACGTCAAAGCCATCATCGGAAAAGCAAGACAGGCCTTCATCAATATGAAAGCAGTGTGGAGATCAACTGCACTCAGCATAAAGCGGGAAACAAGACCCGGATTTTCAACACCAACGTCAAATCAGTGCTTCCATATGGTTCAGAAACTTGATGCGTTACGAAAAGCATTTCCATCAACATCTGCCTACGCTCGTTACTGAAGATCAGATAGAGGGCCAGAAAGAATAAGCAATAAGGAACTCTGGGAACCAACCAACCGAGAACCTATCACCCAACAGATATGCAGAAGAAAAGTGAAGATGGATTGGGCATACACTGAGAAGACCATTTGGGGACATCACGCACCAGGCCAGGAGCTCGAGTGGAACCCAAATGGGAAACGACGGATTGGGCGTCCAAGTGTGATTTTGATTATTTTCCTAAAGAAACTCGGACCAGACTTTGGTGAGAAACATTTGAATTTCTTATTTGAAACACGCTGAGATTTGTCCAAATAAAAGATATAAGATTATTATTGTTTATTATTTTTCCCTTGCGTTCCTAGTGGAACATAGAGCTTCAGTAGCATGTCTCCATTGCACTCTCTTCTCTGCAATCTTCCCAACCTAGCTCGACAACTGCCCATAAGCTTTCATTTCTTCATCGCACGATCTCCTTCATGTCACACTTGGACGTCCAACCCATCGTTTCCCATCTGGGTTCCACTCGAGCTCCTGGCCTGGTGCGTGATGTCTCCATATGGTCTTCTCAGTGTATGCCCAATCCATCTTCACTTTTTTTCTGAATATGAGATAAGATAGTAAGATATTATGATGTGTTGTCGGTCGGTTTGCACCAAATCGACCAATGACTGTTAGTAAATAAACTCCTGAGAAGAGGCCTTATTATCATCGATAATTTCACTCTGTGGTATTAAACGACTCAATCGCCTAATAGATAACACTGTTGTGTTTGAAGCGGTAAGTGCTGAGCTCAAATTTTGATGAGAAAAACAACACACTGGTGGTAGTTACACCCAGTTGATGAATCAACCCTCTACAGTTGCATGTTTACTCAATGACAGAAACATATTTACCTGCAGTCGTAATGACTTGATAATCTCTTCTTTTTCAGTCAATAATTGGCGGAAATCTCGCTCCAATTCATCTTTAGATTGTTTATCCAATTCAAGCTTCTTGTACACCTCTTCTACAGATTTCGATGTTTTCGCCTGATGAGAAGCTAACAATTGTTGTAAATTATTTCTTTCTGATTCCATAACTTTAAACGCTTCTTCAAGCTGCAAAATACAAGCAAAAAAAGTAGGTATATATATATATATCTTACGAGATTTTTTTTCAAACAAAAAAACAATTACTGAATCACTCATACTACCGAACAACCACTCAGTCTGATCTATAGATTTCAGTATCCAGATCAGATTAACCTGAACATCGTAAGGCTGTTTCGTCCGTTTGGAGCCGGGTTCATCAGCGACGTACTAAGTCATTATACAGACTAATTGGATTATCTAAGTTAGCTAGATGCTGCTTGGGGATAGAAGTCTTAACCATTTGCATAAAACCATGTTGGAGCATACTTTCATTCACGCATTGCAAAGGAACACACACACACACACACACACAATTTGCGTTATTGCCATGATGCACTAAGAAACATCTAGTTGGCCAGCTAGCTTCCTGTCTGAGGTGTATCGAAGTAGTCTCAGCAACCATTTGCGCGTCTGTAAAGTAGACAATAAACGGTATGTTCTGCATGAGGGCTAAAGATAGCGTACCTGGCTGCCTAAAATTCAGTAGATGGAGGCCACCAGGATTCGAACTCGTGACCTACTTGGTTGAAAGTTAATTACCTAAATCAACAAATCACAGCTCCACATCAAGATGTATACACATGAATTATCCTTCACACAATTCAAAAGAATACAATGCTCTTTCATACCATAAGTGATTGTTATTTCGGTTTTCGGTTCATTTTTATAATTTCGTGAAAAATAAATTTTGTATTGTACTTGTATCACCTATTCCACGAAAAGTCGCTCTCGTGAAGTAGTGGCGTAAAGGATAATCCAACGGCGGGTGGCTAGTTCTGCATCGATTAGTATCGTATATGGAGGTAGGCAACGGCTCAGCATGTATAACGCATATCCAAATGACCTAAGTTGGTCAAAGTTCACCAAATCATCGACTAACTTATCTGCCTTAATTAACACTCTGCAGTTCACCTCAAAACCTCGCCTGGTTAACTAGTTTACTAGTTACTAGCCGGTCCTAAGCCCGGGTAAAGAGGGAAGGTTGGGCATAGGGCTAGCAACCCTACCCCGGAAAACAAATCTAACCGCTAAACAAACTTCAAAGCACAAACAAAATATAAAAAATGAAAACAAACTTATTCCCGGTGGAATCGGAGAGGCGAAATGACGCCAGTTGGTGAAAGCCTTCGGGAAGCCAATTGGCCGAAGTGTCTTCTCTCGATGAAAGCGAAAGTAAACGTGAGGACATGGAATGTCCACACCATGTTTGAACCCAGTAAGGCAGCCCAGATTGCAAAGGAGATGAGAAGGTATCACATCGAAGTGCTTGGGATTCGCGAAAGCAGATGGAATGAGAGTGGACTCTCCAAACTGTCAACTGGAGAATCAATAATCTACTCCGGTCACCCAGACGACAACCACGAGCACACTGAGTTTTGGAGTGGCTATCATGATGTCCCCAACAGCATCGAAGGCTCTCATGCAGTGGGAACCAATCTCCTCCAGGATCATGACAGCAAGATTCAACTCAAAAGGAAGAAAGGTCACAATCATACAATGTTATGCACCTACAAATAATGCAGAGCAAGAGAAAAAGGAACCTCGCCTGGTTAACTAGTTAACTAGTTACTAGCCGGTCCTAAGCCCGGGTAAAGAGGGAAGGTTGGGCATAGGGCTAGCAACCCTACCCCGTAAAACAAATCTAACCGCTAAACAAACTTCAAAGCACAAACAAAATATAAAAAATGAAAACAAACTTATTCCCCGCTGGAATCGGAGAGGCGAAATGACGCCAGTTGGTGAAAGCCTTCGGGAAGCCAATTGGCCGATGTGTCTTCTCTCGATGAAAGCGAAAGTAAACGTGGGGACATGGAATGTCCGCACGATGTTTGAACCCAGTAAGGCAGCCCAGATTGCAAGGGAGATGAGAAGGTATAACATCGAAGTGCTTGGGATTTGCGAAAGCAGATGGAATGGGAGTGGACTCTCCAAACTGTCAACTGGAGAATCAATAATCTACTCCGGTCACCCAGACGCCAACCACGAGCACACTGAGGGAGTGGCTATCATGATGTCCTCAAGAGCATCGAAGGCTCTCATGCAGTGGGAACCAATCTCCTCCAGGATCATGACAGCAAGATTCAACTCAAAAGGAAGAAAGGTCACAATCATACAATGTTATGCACCTACAAATAATGCAGAGCAAGAGAAAAAGGAGGATTTCTACAGACAACTTCAATCAACACTGGACAAGACGTCAGTTGGCGATATCAAAATTCTGATGGGCGACATGAATGCCAAACTGGGAGGGGACAACACGGGAAGAGAACTAACCATGGGTCGAGAGGCACTAGGTGAAATGAATGAGAATGGAGAATTGTTTGCAGAATTCTGCGCATTCAACGATTTGGTGATTGGAGGCAGTGTGTTCAGGCACAAAGATATCCACAAAGCGACATGGATTTCACCAGATGGACACACTAAAAATCAAATCGACTTTATCTCAATCTCAAGAAAATGGAGACGCAGTCTACTTAACACAAGGTCAAGAAGAGGAGCAGATGTAGGTTCACATCACTATCTAGTGCAAGGAACCTTCCAAATCAAGTTAAAAGCCTTCAAGGAAGCTGGTGATAGACCTCAATTCAAGTACAACACTCGGAAACTGAAGGATGAAACTACAAAGGAGATCTTCACTTCAGCCATCAAGACAAAATGGGAGACATCGAGCAACATCCCTGAAGAAACCTGTGTGGAAGAACACTGGAAGTCTTTGAAAGCTATGTGGAAAGAAACCTGCACAACAGTATTAGGAAGGAAGAAGAAAGAAGACAAGGAATGGATCTCGACGGATACCTGGAAGCTGATAGAGGAGAGGAGGATGGTGAAGCAGAAGATAAACCAGTGCAAGGATGCTCAACGACAAGAGGAACTGAGCACAATGTATAAAACACTGGACAAAGAAGTGAAGAAGAGTGCACGCAACGACAAAAGACACTTCTACGAAACACTGGCAAGTGAAGCAGAACAGGCTGCAGGTAAGAGAGACCTGACGACATTGTATCAAATAACCAGGTTGCTATCAGGGAAGAGACCAACACAGATGAAACCAATAAAAGATGAAGAAGGAAATTTAATTACAAAAGAAGAGAAACAGAGGAAACGATGGGCCGACCACTTCAAGAAGCTCTTGAATCGACCACCACCTGCACTTCGTCCAGAAATACCACCTGCAGCCGCTGAATTACAAGTGAACATAAATCCCCCAACGAAAATGGAAGTCCTGAACGCCATAAAGCTACTGAAATGTGGGAAAGCAGCAGGACCAGATGGAATACCGCCAGAAGCACTGAGAACAGATGCAGAGACAACAGCGGACATGCTCACACCACTATTGCAGAAGGTGTGGAAGGAAGAGAAGGTACCTGACGATTGGAAGAAGGGTTACCTTGTCAAACTGCCGAAGAAGGGAGACCTCAGTGCTTGCAAGAACTGGCGCGGAATCACTCTCCTGTCCACCCCAAGTAAAATATTAAGCCGCATCATCCTGGAGAGGCTTAAAGATGCACTGGATTCAAAACTACGACCGGAACAGGCAGGCTTCAGGAAGTACAAATCATGTGCAGACCAAATTGCAACGCTTCGCATCATCATAGAACAGAGCATAGAATGGCAATCACCTCTCCACCTCAACTTCATCGACTTTGAGAAGGCCTTTGACAGCGTCGACCGAGAAGTAATTTGGAAACTGCTTCAATACTACGGAGTGCCGCAAACCTTTATCCGCCTCATTCAACAACTATATGAAGATGCCACATGCCAAGTAATCCACAATGGGAAGCTCAGTGATGCCTTTGAAGTGAAGACAGGAGTGAAACAAGGTTGCCTACTATCCCCCATGATATTCTTGATTGTGGTGGACTGGATCATGCAGCAAACAGTAGGCAGCGAGAAGAGGGGGATACACTGGACGACGGAAAAGAACCTAGAAGACTTGGATTTCGCCGATGACTTATGCCTAATGTCACATAAACTTGAAGATCTGCAGGCAAAAACTAACAAGTTGATAGAAGAGGCAGCGAAGACGGGACTTCAGGTGAATATAGAGAAGACAGAAGTGATGAAGATACCGCACCACCACCATCAACAACAACAACAACAAACTCCAATCACTGTCAACGGGAGAAACTTGAAGGAAGTAACCTCCTTCACTTATCTAGGAAGCACTGTTTCAACTACAGGCGGGACGGACGAGGACGTCAAAGTCAGAATCGGAAAAGCAAGACAGGCATTCATTAGCCTGAAACCAGTGTGGAGATCTTCTGCACTCAGCATGCGGAACAAGATACGGATTTTCAACACCAACGTCAAGTCAGTGCTCTTGTATGGCTCAGAGACTTGGCGCGTCACGAAAGGCATTTCCAATAAACTACAGACATTCATCAACAACTGCTTACGCTCGCTGCTGAAGATCAGATGGCCAGAAAAAATAAGCAACAAGGAACTCTGGGAACGAACCAACCAAGAACCTATCACGCAACAAATATGCAGGAAGAAGTGGAGATGGATTGGCCATGCACTGAGAAGGCCGACTGAGGACATCACGCGTCAGGCCCTCGAGTGGAATCCCCATGGGAAGCGACGAGTTGGACGTCCAAGGGTGACATGGAGGAGGTCGTGCGAGCAGGAAATGAGAGCTTCTGGGCTGTCGTGGGACCAGGTTCAAAAGATCTCAGAGAACAGAGGTCACTGGAGGCGTGCTACTGAAGCCCTATGTTCCACTAGGAACCCAAGGGACTAATAAAATAATAAAATAAGTTCACCTCAAGATTGCTCAAATCCTGACTGTAATGCATGGATATACAAGTCCAACCACCACATTATGGTGACAGTCTGTAAGGTAAATAAAAAGTTCTGCGAATTCAACCACCGATATATTCCAAAGAAGATGGAAAACAATTCTCAGCCAGACTATCTGAGATACCCATCGTTTGGGAAACTTGCATTGATACTGGGTGATGTATGAAAGTGAGATAAAAATTTAGGCCACGGCAGGATTTGAATCAGTGACTAACAAGTTACTGGGCCAGTGCTCTACCACCACGGTCTGCCGGGCCGGCGGTGTTGGTTCACTTGTCATTTCCTTTCGATCATCCGGCCCCAAAAATACAAAAGTTCAAAATAATCATACTCAAAAGGCTGGGTGTGACAGGCCTCAAGCAGATGTCCGATGGGCTCTGTGGTCACACAAATCTCTTTCAGGTACATTAAGAAGAAATAGCCTTCCACGGTGTGGGCAGCCGGGAAGTGTCAACCGCCCTCACAACTCTGTCAGCACCCAAGTTTCTTCTGATTGCTATCCTCCTCCTCCATCACTAATGAACACACTACCATAGAAATAATCATAAGCTAATAAAAATAAATAAAAACAAACCTGTTGATATTTGATTTTATATTCACGTGCTAAACGATAAACATGTTGATAACGTGATTGTATATCTGATGAATCTTTAGATGATGATAATCGAAAAGTTGATGAAATAATTGAACCACAATCAGAATCCTCTCCACCATGTCTATCTTGTTCATTATTATATGAACTAGTCAATTTTAATCTATTTACACAATTCTCCTGTTTTGATATTGGTGAAATATCCTCATCATAATCAAGAATAGTTGATCCATCAAATTTTTTAGTATTAACAGTAGACAATGTGATTTGTTTATTCAATTGTTTTGTAGAAGTTCGTGTTTCAAAAGCGATATCAGCATCAGTTCGTTCTGATTCACCCTATTTCATTAAATTCAATGATAATTAACAATAACAACAAGAGAAGAGAAGAGAAAAGAGAGCAATGACAAACAGGAACATGTTATGTAACAATAAAAATCAATAATCATTAAAAAAAAAAACTACTTCGTAAATACAAGTTGTAGAGGAAAGTAATCAACAACACATAAAATGTGAAATATATTCTATTTTACTGTTGAAAATTTGATTCTAAAACGAAACTGAAAAAAATACGCGCGCATACAGAGAAATGCAACATGGATTGATTGATCACGGGATTGTAATCATTTTCATGTTGTCTAGTCCTGAGTCCTACCGATTGCCTCCAACCAATTAACATCAACTATTATGCACCACGACGCTGAGCTTCCTAGCTTGGTTGCCACATTGCAAATATGATCGACAGAATTCGATCTGCACTCAGGACTTGACAACTTGAAATTGGTTGCACTCCCGTGACCAATCAATACATGTAACTCAGTCCTACAGAAGGTCAATCGCGTTCCGAATAGCTTAGTGGTAAAGTTGCTGACCACAACACTGTGTGACGTGGGTTCGAATCTCAGGCGGGACATTAGTTTCATCGAGGTTACAGATACGCCTTGCTGACGAGTACTAAAAGGCATGAAAACTAGGTCCAGGGCTTCCTACCGATTCATCATCAGTATCAACATAGGACTGCGTAATGGTACAACTTCCCACAACTCATCTCATATCACTACATCAAGTAAAAAGGAAGTCAAGCACAAGATCAACATAAGAAAATTCAGTCAAAAGAAATATAAAGTAATCAAAGAGAGAAAGAAAGAATGAGAAAATGGTGAGATTCAGTAGAGCGTCACTGACATCCATCCTCAGACATATCACCTACAATCAGTCTCCAACCATTACTTTCTCTACTCTCACACACCCCAACCCACCTAGTCTGCATCGCCCCACATGGCTCAAACCAACAGTCAAACACCTCATACACTGATGCCATCTTTTAGTCTGGCCACCTCGGACCTTTTTACAGCCTGAACCTATTTCCCCCAACATTGTGTGACCACTCTAAGATTGAAGTTGAGCAGCAGATAGGATTTCACGCATGTCTATATTAATGCGTATTTCCAAATTCAACTGCTCCTTTAGAGTCAGCTATTTACGACCAACTATGAGAACCGTTTTTCAACGGGTGAACAAATATTTCTCAGTATGTCTAGCAAAAAGGGAGATAAGAAAATCTGGGTTGTATTGTGTTCTCTGACCTGGGTTGTTTAATCATGAGGCTTTCATCGTCTTGGTAGATGACGTCATCAGCACTAACTCCAGTATGAAGTGAGCTGTCAATATTTCTTCGTCAGTGACTTAGTAGCTTGCCCTGACGAACTGTTTTGTGACTGGTTGTTTCCTTTGATTGTGATGTCATTGACGGCATAGATTCTCCAACTGACTGTAAAACCATAAACCAATAAATTACCCTCCAAACACTATTATGAAGACCAAACAATGCGACAACCAAAGAAGAAAAACCAAACATCATTTACAAAATCAACTTCAATAACTGTAGTCAACACTGCATTGGACAAACTGGTCGGCTTCTTCGCCTTCGTCTACACGAACACCAATTGACTATCAAACGTCACACATGACATTTCATCACTCATTCCAATGCACGTGGATAACAACTATGGATATGAATTCAATTTCGACAATGTAGAAATGTTGGATAGAGAGAGAATTCCTAGAAGCTTGTGATTCAGGTCAGTCAGTCAGTCAGCAATCAACAGATGTATAGACATAGACCCAATCTATCAGCTAATAAGGAAGATGATAAACGACAGAAAGGTCAAAGGTGAAGCAGAGGAACACCCAGCAGGGAAATCTATATGGTCAATCAATGACACAACAATTGAAGGAAACAACCAATCACAGACCATATAGTCAGGGAATCTACTAAATCACTCACGGAGAGATATTGATAGCTCACTTCATACAGAAGTTAGTGCTGTGGATGATATCACTGTCTAGAAAGACGATGAAAGCTTCGCGATTAAACAACCCAGATCAAAGAACACAATACGATCACGACCATCCACCTGAGACACAAATACTCCCCACTAATTCAAGAAAAGAAAGTTTATAAGTTCTATCCGGCCCCACCTAACTGATACTGGTCACAGTGTTGACATTAAATCTGCTTTCTTAGTCATCCATAAGATACTAGAGCAAATGCCATAAGGTGTAAAAATTCGCCTTCTTCAAATTGGTGAGGCTGTTGCAACAGAGAAAAGAAATCCTGAAACCTGAACGCTCTGTGTCCGACTACATCTTAAAACATTCCCTTGTCTTTCCATCACCATTTACAAAGGTGGGGTTCATGTAACTGAGATAAACAATGATTCAAGTAACTTGTTCATATTCTATATCAATCTGATTTAGTATTGTTGTTTTTCTTACACTTCGATTTACATTCTTATGATTTGTATGCCTTTAATTCTCAATTGACATAACATTGTATAGTTACTCACTACCTTTCATGAATTCATTCCAATTGTAACTTATAATTCCTATACTTGTCAAGACTTTTATCAAAAACGAGATGCATGAGAGCTGCTGACCAAACGTCGATAGGTTGGAACCCCTGACCTATCAACCGATAGCTAACTCCTGAAACCAATAAGTAGACAGCTGCTCCACGTTTAGAATGAGAATAATGCTAGTTTCATGTCCTCTAAGGGTTGATATTTTGTCGTGGACATTCTATCACCAGGTTTGATGGTATCCACAGCTTCATATGAAGCTAGTCCTGAAGATATCACCAAATCTAGTAATATCTACAACAAAATACCAAAGCTCAGAGAACACTAAACCAGCATCATTTTCATTAGGAGCGTGGAGCTGTCTACTTATTGGTCTGGGGAATTAACTATCAACCGTTAGGTCGCGGGTTCGAACCCTACCCCACCTATCGACGTTTGAGCAGCATCATTTTCACCTTGACCTACAAATCTTTTACTCCGCTTGTAACTATTCAGTATAAAAGGAACGAAAACGCATAAACTGTGATTATAAAACTATGGACAGTGAAATCGCTGAACTTTTCCCTTCCTCTAATAAATTGATAACCTAACTATCCGAATTCTTGAGAAACGAAGTTTTACACAATGTCAACCATGTTATTAGCTTAACACACAGATAACTGTCAAAAACTCATCTAAGTACTCGATGGGTGTTTATTTTTTTAAGAGCAAAATATGGTATCTTAAAGTAGAGTCTGATGACCCTTCAACAAGATTACATATTTACTCAAATTCTTGTCCTCTCAATGTTATCATGGCAATATATTCAGCACACTAACTTGGCAATAATGAGCAATTTATGCCTACTACCTTCAATCACGATGAGAAGTTATTATTATTATTATTATTATTTGTCTCTTGGGTTCCTAATGGAACATAGGGCTTCAGTAGCACGTCTCTATTCCACTCTCTTCTCTGAAATCTTTTGAACCTGAATCTACAACAGCCCACAAGCTCTCATTTCCTCCTCACACAATCTCCTCCATGTCACCCTCACCTCGAACGCCGAAATCGTCGCCTCCCACCGACAGCCTGACGCGTGATGTCCCCAGTCGGTCTTCTCAGTGTATGCCCAATCCATCCCCACTTCCTTCTGAATATTTGCTGAGCGATACCATCTTGGTTGGTTCGTTACGAGGTCAGAGTTTCTTGTTGCTCATTCTTTCTGGCCATCTGATCTTCAGTAACGAGCCAGCGTAGGCAGTTGTTGAGGAATGTGTGTAGTTTATTGGAAATCCCTTTCGTAACCCGCCAAGTCTCTGAACCATTTTATAGAAGCACTGAATTGACTGAATTGGTGTTGAAAATCCGGATCTTGTTCCATATGCTGAGTACAGTTTTTTTTATCTCCACACTGATTTCAGGCTAATGAACGCCTGTCTTGCTTTTCCCTTTCTGACTTTGACATCCTCGTCTGTGCCTTTACCACCTGTAGTTGAAAAAGTGCTTCCTAGATAGGTGAAACACGCTACTTCCTTTAAGTTTCTCCCGTTGATGGTGATTGGAGTTTGTTGTTGGTGGTGGTGTTGTTGGTTGGGTATCTTCATCACCCCTGTCTTTTCTATATTCACCTGAAGTCCCGTCTTCGCCGCCTCTTCTGTCAACTTGTTAGTTTTCGCCTATACATCTTCAAGTTTGTGTGACATCAGGCACAAGTCATCTTTGGCGAAATCCAAGTCTTCTAGGTTCTTTTCCGCAGTCCAGTGTATCCCCCTCTTCTCGCTCCCCACTGTTTGCTGCATGATCCAGTCCACCACAATAAGGAATATCATGGGGGATAGTAGACAGCCTTGTTTCACTCCTGTCTTCACTTCAAAAGCACCACTGAGCTTCCCATTGTGAATTACTTGGCATGTGGCATCTTCATATAGTTGTTGAATGAGGCTGATAAAGGTTTGCGGTACTCCGTAGTACTGAAGCAGCTTCCAAATTACCTCTCGGTCGACGTTGTCGAAGGCCTTTTCAAAGTGGATGAAGTTGAGGTAGAGGGTTGACTGCCATTCTATACTCTGTTCTATGATGATGCGAAGCGTTGCAATTTGGTCCGCAATAAGAAGTAATAGAAACAGAAAACTATGCTAATGAAGACGGAATGATCGTAATTGGAACAGAGGGGGCTGTGATAGTGAAGCACTATAACCAAGTGTAAGGACTTTAAGAGTGAGTGAATATAACCCACCCCCCTCAAATAAAGCGGTTTTCAAGAGCATCATAGAAAGTAGCGGATTTGATAAATTGGAGAGTTTGAGTAGAAGATCAACTAGCTTTTCGTGGCTCTTCAATACACTACTATATCGAGTCACAGCCTAAGTACACACTGGTAATATCACTCAATCTGCCAGTAAAGATGATTCAGTTACCAGGGCTAACAACTGAGAAAGGGGGTAGGTAGCTTCCACGGTCTTATCCCTTGCTAACTTGAAATATGAAATCAAAACTTGTTCAGCAAACTTATACATGGTGATGGAGGAAGTAATGAAATACAACTATTGCGTGAAGAGTAGTAATGCTACCCAGTTGCCCACACCTCGGTAGGTGCAGTGAGGTTTGAAATCATGATCCAACAGTCGATAGTCATTTTCCGAAACCTATAGATCACAATCCAACTTCATTCAAGACAAAACAAAGTCCGGAAATGACTAAGTCACTTAGATGAACCTGACGAACATAGCATCTAAAATTCTAGGTTCTACAATTCTTCGACACCTGAGTAGAGCTCGAGAACACCAAGCCCGAGAAAACCAGACAGGCTTTAGACCCGGCCGCGGGTATATCGACCAAATATTTACACTGTGCCAGGTTCTGAAACACAGGCACGCTCACCGAGGCCTGACAATACCCGTATTTCTTGATCTGAAGGCGGCATTCGACTCCGTCAAGTGAGGAGTCTTATTGCAACGTCTCTCACTGAATGGGGTATCGAGTAAGAACATCGACCTAGTGAAGGCTCGTCACTCAAACATCTGTGGGCGTGTTACAACCTATGGTGAGATATCGTGTGAGTTGTTTACGTCGAGTGGTGTCCATCAAGGATGCAAACTCTATCCATCCTCATTCATTTTTATCATAGGTGTTCTTATGGAAGTCCCCCTCTCATCATCTGACCATGTACGGATTGACCTCATCACAGGAGAATTCCCAGTAGACCTAGAATACGCAGATGACATAGTCCTGTTAGGTGAAGGCTCCGAAAAGATGCAGTCTTCTGGACACCTTCAGGAGCAATTTGAGAATGTTTGAGATGCGTTTCTTCGCATCCAAACCCAAATTATTGCCCCAGAATTGGTCTTCAACAGTATCTCGACTAACAATAGACAGTGAAATCGTTAGGTGCGTTGAATACTTCACTTACCTGGGGAGTGGGATCAGCCACGATGATTCTGTGGCTGAAGAAATCTCTGTATGGATACAAAGGGTTCGGTTGACTTTCGCCAACTTGAGCCACCTATGGTGCCACCATGATATTTGATTATCTATTAAGGGTCGCGTCTACTGCACAGCAGTCCGGTCTGTTCCACTGTATGGCTGTGAAACATGGCCATTGAAAGTGGAATATATGAGAAGGCTTCTGGTGTTTGACGACCGTTGTCTTCGTAGTATAAGCTGTATTGCGTGGTGCCACCACGTGAGTAATGCAGAAGTCAGGTGTAGAGTTTTAGGGAGAAAAGGTAAATCAGTTGACACAGTTGTGAACTTTCATTGACTGAGATGGCTGGGACATGTGTTACGCATACCTAGCCATCGTTTGCCTCGTCAAACAATGCTGGCCGAAATAGGTTCAGGTTGGAAAAATGCTAGAGGCAACCAGACTACAACATAGCATCAGTGCATGAAGTCGTTGACTGTTAGTTTAAGCCTTGTAGGGTGATGCAGACTATACGGCTAGAGTCCACAGGACAAGAGAAACCAGTGGTTGGAGACTGACTTCAGATGATACGGCTGAGAACCGATGTCCGTGGCGCAGATGTATACACACACTATCCTCGTCGTAAACGCTATACTTAATCCTACCATTTTTTCATTCTTCCTTTCTTCCTCACTACTTTCTACTTTTACTTCCTTTGACTGATTTTTTTTCCTTCCATTTTATTGCCTTGTTACTTAATGTGCTGATTTAAGGTGTGGCAACTTGGACCGTAAGGCAGTAATGCCTAGTTCTGTGTTGACCTTCATGATGATGAAAATAAGAGATAAGGATGTAACTCAACAATGATATGCATATTTGTACATTTGGCAATGAAACATACCTATGCCACATGGAGGCTGATAATGCTACCTAGTTTTGCGAACCTGGATATATGGATCAAGGTTCGGCCTACAGTCAAAGTTGATGAAATGGAAGTAAGGAATAATAATGACTGCAAATACATGTTATACAGACAGATAGATAAAAAGTAGAATTTCGCACACATATGAGGCAGAGAGGAGTGTGTTATATGCGGTCCAACCATCTCTAACCGCCCCCTTCCCACATAGAAAGCTACATCAGCGTAGTAGCGTAGCGTAGCAATTTACAGTACAACAGTAAGTGCTTTTCGTCCTACCTCGATCCAACAGATCTTTCTGACATGGTAAGACTTCGATGTAAAAAGTGTTGCAGCCAGTGCAGCTTGCTGGGTTATTGTGATTTACAAACCTGACAACCACGTCAAGGTAGCAGCTATAGATGTGACTGAAAACGAAGCTGGAGGACTCAAATTCGATCATGGTATATAAACCACTAACCATAAATATATGTTCTTGAACTCATTTTTAAATCCCCCTTTTTGTCTGAAATAACTATGGTGGCACTTATTATTTGTAATGAAGGAGGTGGAGTAAAATTAGGAATTAAGATTTCATGTTCAATAATTTTGCTATCTGTTGGCATGAAATGCTGCCCAGTTGGCTTAAATTTCATCAGCATTTAACATGAAAGTCTTCTTTATAGTTTGGTCATATGTTATGCTCAGTGTGTTGTATTCCATCCAGAAGTTAGTTTACAGACAGGATGATAGTGAGTAAACTGATTCACCTTTATAGGCTATTTTGCATTTTGTTTATTGCTATACCATTATAAGGTTTTTTCCTAAAGATTTACACTTTCTAAAGTTCTACATATTCGATAATAAACTTTACACCGACCATTGGTCAAATACTGGATTTAAACTTCAGTAGTGCGATAAACAGAAAAACTCACCAGAAATCTTGAATAAGAAACTCTTCCATCACTACTTCCACATTCTGATCTAGAGCTCTGAAAATAAGAAAGGTTGCATAAGTTTTTCTTATTTAAAGTAATGTTAATACAAAGTCTGCACAGCAGGTTCGCTAAGACAAGTGTCAAACAAAATCCTATAACAGTACTATGACTCCATAAAGAATATCAAGTCCAGTGTGAGGACAAATACCGATGGCAGTGGATGGTCACCACGCTATATTACCAAATGACAGAAGTAGGGAATAGTGAACCGCTGGATTCCATCCAACTCAGTAGCTAAATAATAAAGCACTCACCTTGAAATCTGGTATCAGGACTATGTTATCTGTGTACTCTAGATCTACTAAGAATTCTTCTATGACTATATAAATCCCTGTAAAGTCAGACGATACGACAGAGACCTTAATAACTATGTTTATGATCAAGTTGAAAAAGAATGGAGACAGTTGACACCATAGATGAAAACCACTCAACGTATGCAACTCTCCTGTTAACTCACCATATACTGTCACGCACTCACAGGTGTTCGAGTACACAGCCTTCAAGAGAATGGTGTACCTACCCATTGCCCCTTCCGGGGAGACCACCGAAGAAACCTTTGGTCACCGGAGTGGAATGTCGCCTTCAGGTAGAGAAATACAGCCAGTACCAAGCATCGGTAAGTGTGCCTGTGTTCCAGAACCTAGTGGAAGATGAATATCTGGTCGATACAACCACGACGAGGTCTAAAGCTTATCTAGTTTTCTCATGTTTTCTGTGTTCATGACTGACTCCTCTTTAGTTATCACAAAACGATTTTCCCCTTCTTTGAAAACGGTGACAATCAGTAACTGAGACCTGTCAGAGGGAATCATATCTGACTCCCGCACACTGACCAACACCTCAGTTAATTTCACCAGTAACCCATGACCACCGTCTTAAAATACCGAAATTACTAGCTCATCTGGCGCTGCTGCCTTTCCTCGTTTCGAAATGCTTACAACTCTCCCAACGTCTGCTAGACCTGGATCCAACTAGACGGCAGGGAACGGAACAGTACCCGGAGGTCGGTTGAATTGTTCCTTGAATGGTTTCACCCCATCGTTCAGATCGTCTTCTCAGCGAGTCACGAACCCATCCTTCTCAGTAACAGTCTCACTGACCACTCACCATTCCGCTCAAGTTTCCTTGATAAGTCTAAATAACTGTCTATTGTTACCTATCCCCACTGCCTTTTCCAACTGTCTAGCCTTCGCTGTCCACCACTGTTCACGGTCATTGCGTAGAGTATTTGCCAGTTTAAATTTGGGTTGCTTTCACAACCCATTGTACCTGGAGCCTACAGGAATGCGTTTGTGTGCATCCATTAATTCAGGAGAATCTGCTGAAATTCATTAGCCCTTTCTAATTTCTCTCACCTGCGGTCTTTAACGCTGTTTTTACAGCAGACTGGATATGGTACCAGGCTTCTTTTGAGTGAAGGACGCACTACTGATTCGATATCTGCCTATCCAGTTTCACGCTGAATGTGGCTTTAGTATTCTTACCATGAGGCAGCAATCGCAATGGTCTTGCAGTCGCAGTTCTTCTTTATCTATTAAGGTGCAGATAAACCAACGAGTGATCTCTGTTCAAACACGCGCTTCAGAGGGAGCGGCAGTCTCCCATCAACCCTATCCAGCAACAACTCAGCATTATGGTCTATCTGCGTCCACCGCTGAGTTGAGGTCGGTGAATGCTATGTTATACAATGTCTCACTTTATATCTGAAGTTCGTGCTGATCAGAAATAAATGGCTATCTGAAAAGTTGACGTAGGCGATCGCCATTATCTATCATTCGGATACGATTCTGAAAGTGCTACTTAAGTGCCTTTCTACTTAAACTAGCCTACCAATATGTGCATTGAAATCACCTGCAACAAAAAACATGTCTAGGAGTTTGGCTTTCCCTAGGAGGCTAGATAGCTACTTTATGGAAGAATTCATCCTTCATTTCATCCGAGTTTTAGTCAGTGTATGTATAATTGGAGATTAAAAAGAGACAACGGTGGGTTTAGCCGTCGAACAAAGCATAGATGCCTGTCAACTGGGATCCAGTCAAACGGTGCGTTTCCTGCCTTAACACTTAATCCTCTACCTTAACCTTCAAGACCATGAGAACTAAGCATCGAACCTCTAGAAACTCGAAGGATGAATTTTGCAGATTCATCACATTAGTTGGGTGAGTCAAGTAAATAACCACTTGGGTCCTGTATGCATGTCAAGCAAACACAGTACACAATCATGGCCTGAGATGCCAGAGTTCTGGCTAGCAAAGATTGTTGGCCGATTCGACGGATGGTGTGGACATTGAAAGCTCTAAGGTGCAGTTTGGAGCACAGTTTCAGCAGATTAGTGGTGTTATCTAATGAATGAGATCGTTGTCAGGATCTGCAATGCTGGAAGAAATTAAAGATGATGTAGGAATGTTGATTCAGAAACGACAAAGGTTAAAAGATGGGAGTTTTATGGTGATCGAAAGGAAATTGAGTGGCGACAAATTTGTGAGGGCAAGTGATATTTCCAGGTCACTCACACATCTGCATGAGGCCAGTCACACAGTCATTTTAGAAGTTTGAGATTTAAGTTTTCTATTTTCGTCTCCGACCATGAACCCATATCACCCATACCGGCATGTCGCAGGGTAGAAGCGAGTGTTGAATTTTCCGACATCACTGCTGGTCATCCGTAAGAAACAACTTGTTGCTGATCAGACGGCTTCGCCCTTAGACACACAATCATAGTGTAGCGAACTACACTAGAACTGTAGTTGCTTTTGTCGCCTACTATTATCCAACTGACCTTAATATCATGGTAAGACTAATATTTCCCATACTATTGATCATGTTACTTATTTTTAACTAACAACTTATGTGTACAGTCTTTTTACTTTCTTCTAACTAACTCTGCTGTGGTTTGGACAGACACAGATAGACGAAATCAAATTAGAATCTCCCAAACAAGTTCATCGGTTCAATTTTCGACAATTCACAGTAGCATGCAAAGAATAACTGGATAGAAAACATCGATACCAAGGTAGACAGCAGTGTATGGGAGGTAATGAGTTTAAAAATGAGGTTTATTTTAAATAGTCAAGCTTCAGAAGATAAAGCGAATTAAAAAGTTAAGAAACGAGTTCAAACAAAGTCAAGGATTCCCTTCCTTTCTTGACTTCGCGATAAGATTGACCTTGCTTTTTTCCGACTTACCAACATAAAAATGTGGTCTGCAGACATATAGATGACATCCAGATAAACATTTCATTTATGCTGGCTACTTTCCCAGATACTGCATAGTTGGAACTTTGCACCCAAAACGGTATTCAGACGAACTGATGGATTTACCACGGGCTAATGAATTGGGACATGAAAAGTAACGGTCAACAGGCAAGACAAGCATGACTACAGTAATAGGACTAAATAATCAGAAACCGTCTGTTAGCCCAGTGTCTCCTACACAGAAACAGTACATGACAGTCCCTGCAAATGCAACTCAGGCTTTCACTTTGTCATGCCCCCGGTTTCCGTATAACGTCAGCATAAATGAAATGGTTACCATCAGAAAGCCCTGTGGGATTAAAAATGTACAAAGAGACCAAATAATCGAAGACGGATAAAATAATAATCGCTACCTAAATTCCAAGCAAAAGATTCCTATCAAATGTTTACAATTCATTATATGGAACAAAATAAGTGAGAAAAATTGATATATGAGACTCCTTACTTTGTGTATCCCTTCTTTCTTGGTAACAAGTCCTTTAAGGTTACTAAACATTACAAGTCACGTAACGCAATATATGAATGTAGCGCTTTTTGATAGCAAGTATCCAATGTCATTTTATGAGCCAACGTAAACCAATTGATTTCTTCGCTTTCACTTCCAGGTCTTTGATGGATTTCAGTGTAGCAGATTAACTCACTTGGCTGCTGAAGTTGTGGTTAGCCTAACGGGTGGCTGTCTGGTGATTAAATTTGTAAGGATTGTGTGATTTTGCAAAGGATTGCGGTCCAGATGGGTTCCTGAAGTGTTGTGCCACCAGGTAGTTGGTTGGACTGGCCCTAGAAGGAGAATAGAAAGGATGCCCAGCGGAATCAGTGGAGAGGAAGTGCGGAGAAAAAGAAACAGAAAACGATGAGGTGAAAGGAAGCGAAACAGTAGGAGAAACTCAGGTAGATTCGTGAGAGATAAGTCATGGGACAAACCTAGCCCAACAATTTGAGACCATGCAGTCAGAGGGAACTGGAGGAGCTAATAAGGTTGTAGGATGGTCGATGGGAACAGGCATACTGATACCATTATCAGGGGATGGTAACTGTGAGAGACGTCTAACGGGGAGGTATATGATTGAGGCAAGTTAGCGATGGTAATGGCGGCATAAAAGATTCGGTATTGGGTTGACTGTGTTAGGTTGTAAAGAGTTAGTAGGTTGTATCAGCCTAGTTAGTATCCTTACCAAATGAGCGCAAGCTGTATTCCGCAGAGCAGTTTTTCAACCTCTTCTTGAAGCTGTCGATAGACAGGCCAGTGGCAATCGCCGTTGGCAATGCGCTGTAGCGGCCGCAAACTCTTAAAAGTAGCAACATGAATGAGCATCAGAATTACGTCTTCGGTGGGCGATTCTGCCTAGGTTACCACGAGGACTGGCATAATGGCTGTTCGACAGGATTCCACAGTTCGGACGGCTTGAATTACTCGGTAGGCCGTTGTTGAGCCGCGACATGGCCTACGGTAGGTAAGACAGTAAAACCCTGAGTCTTCCAGCCTACCCCGGCAGAGTTTTCCACTCATCCCTATAACACCTTCTGTTGTTCGTCTCTGAGCTTTCTACGGGAGGTTCACACCTTTTTCAGATATAGTAGCTCAGTGATGCTATGGACTTCCAAATGGGGTCGTATATAGGTCTTGTACCGCTTCGGGAAGAGTCGCAGAGTGAGGTCACCCAGTTTTGTAGTATAATATATTTCTTTTATCCCACACAGTGGTTATGTTTACAGTACAGAATTCTCGACATGTGTTAATACATCGAATAAGACACTGACAATGAATTCTGTCTGACAAGCAATTGGAATGACAGAATTACTGAAATGTTTAATGACTTCAGGGACACGACAAATATTCGCTATTGCACATTTGACTGATAAGAATATGTCAAACAAGATTTTCGCCACACAGTACACAATCTAAATAAATTAAGGTTGAGCTTGCATGCAGCTTAATATATTTGCTTCTTGTCTCCCTGCGCGATAGGCATGGGAAAAGCTGCGGATGTACAGGGTGATATATTTTTAGGCAGTGGCCTTTGAGGGTTTAGATGCCTATCCACGGCCGTACTTATCAGCTCGCCTAGGGGTATGCCACGTGTTCTACTAACAGCCTTCAAGGTCCTGCGCAACACAACCGGCCCTTTCTCCGGAGTTCAAGAAAGAATAAGGGGGCATTAAGTGCGGCACTGAGTGGGCTCTGCAGGCACTTCCTTTATAATTGAAGCTGGTGTCCAGCTTGTTAGTCAGTCTCTTTCTCTGCGGTGGTGTGGGAGATTTTCGCTTCAGAGAGGAAGAGAGAGTAGGATACTTTTTGGGAATCAAGGGTGGGGAGAAACATGGTTCAGCATCTATCTGGGTTAAGTACCAGTCCGTTATCATCCGCCTACTTTGCGAGGAATCTGAGGTCACTTTGCATTGCACCTGATTCTACTTTGAGTGCCACAGCTCCCCGTGACTTAACATCGAGAGCGTAAGGGAGAGTCGGGGAGCTGAGGCTTAGCGGAAGGTCATTCATCAGATGAAGATGAAGCAGATAACTCAGGATCTCTCCTTGTGATACGCCGGATGATGTCGTTCAACTCAAGCAAGCTCTGTTGATTTTCGTATAGAATTCTCCGCCGCCTAAGTGGTTCTACAGCCAGGAGAGCACTTGACGGTTGATATCCAACCTTGACATCTTGCGGAAGATAAGTAGACCTGCGTAAACTTATGATTCCTCGTTGCAGAAACGGCAAATGAATGTTCCTAGGGTTCTGCAACCGTGTTACTGGGGGTTTTTGTTTGCATCAGATGGCCACTGCACTTGATTCGGTCAAGCGAAACCCCAAGATTTAAAGTTACTATTCATAGTTGCCGAAGCCTGCTTCGATATCTTTCTTACAGATTTCTGCAAAACGACAAACAAGTTTGCACATCGTAACGGCTAGCCATCTAGCGCAGACCTCCGTCCATGTCTTTTAGTGCCTTATAACTAGGCAAAAGGCGTTGGGAGGGGTCCATTGGGATGTAGGGAAACGTGGGCGACGTGACACACCATAATCAGTTACAGTCATTTTCACCCGTACTGCATAAGTTGTAGTCTAAGGCAGTCCGTACGATTCAAGTAGGGTTTGTACTACAGTTATGATCATAACAATAATATATATGTTTCGTACACTGTATGTTACATGAATACAGACCAGTTTACAGGTTTGATAAGTTTAGTAATGAGAAATGACTATTATGTACAATATTAAGCCATACATTAGGTACAGTTATTCATGGCATATAAGAGGTATGTTGGAGCAGACTCAGTTAGAAATTAGGAATTGTTCGGTCGTTGTTTGAATTTTCCAATATTCTTGAAGGTGGGGCAGGCAGTACAGTCATGACCTTGGGGTATGTGCATTCGCCATAAGGTTTTGATGGCACGGTGCACACTGACAAATGCGATTTCTAGGATTCCATTTGAACGCAGGACTGGTTAGGTAAACCTGAAAGGTGGATAACAAAGGCGAGCAGCAGGCGAAATTCGAAACAGGAGCACAAAAATATGCAGGAGTAGATCAACCACGATACATCTGGGTGGGTTCTTTTCACTGGCTACTGACCGCATTCATCGAAGCGCGAGCACAAATGCATTGCAGGAGGGTAGTGAATTTGTAGTGGCAAATAATTCCTCGAAATCGATTGCCCAGGGCTTGATGGGACTCAGCACTGATGCTTGCTCTCATACCTTTGATGGATTGGCAGGTTTGGCACTGCACAGCCTAGCATCCTTTCAAGTTACCATATTGTTGTGTTACGTTGCGCCGCTCATATGCGTTCCTCTAGCAATTTATCCGCAGCTCAGTTGCATTTTGACGGGGTATATCAAAGATACTGTTCCCACCCTATTATGTCATCTGCTGGTCATGCTCTCGTAGATCTTCTACAATCATGAAGAATTGGAGTGGCCGCTACGTTACTCAAGTTGGCGAAAAGACAACTCTCTTAACCTTGAAGTTTTTAGGGGGCATAACAGCGGAGTCTTTCCGTAGTTTCTGAAGAGTATCTAGGTTGTGCGAATTCCGAATAGGGTAGGAGTTAATTTCATATATTCTGAAAGAAACGCCACGACTTCATAACCATGGTCTCTTCGAGGCGAAGGAGATCAACGACTTCATATGTGTCGCTGAAGGCAAACTCAGGATCCTTTATGACAGCAGCAGCTGTCCAGCCTAAAGGAAGTCAAGCAGAATGAAACCCTTGTCTGTTTACCATTAACATCCCATACTTCTATGTGTTGAGCGGAAGCTGGTTTTCACCGGTCCAATCCCTAGTTTAAGACAGGTCACTTTTCAAGACTGATACCTGTTGTCCTACATTTTATCCCAGGTCTGAAGACACTGCGTGTGACAGCGAACAAGAATTTTCTACGGTGGAAGTAGGAAATGCCAAGTGACCTAAACCGATGTGCCCCGCCGGGATGTGAGAACCAACGAGACAAGGAGATGCCGATCCAAACTGGTAAGACACGTTCTAGCTTATTTATACTACACAGTGAGGCCTTCATGGGCTGCAGTAAGTAAGGCATACACCCAAGAGACTTTCCGATGGGAATTCCCGAAATTACTTAGCGAGAATGGACAGAATTGCAGGGAAGAACCTCAAAAATTTTAAGCGATCCATACCGAGACAAGCTGAAATCTAGAAGCCCTATAATGAACCATATGGCACCGTTATCAAGCTTTTATCTGAATAACAGTACAGCAGCGAACTCCTCGCATGGGCATTTGGGCATGTCACCGGAAAACACTATGGTAGGAATATTTATTTATTTACAGTAGCTGGCGGAATTCGAGGTTTCTTCATCCGTGAACGCTGCACGCTGTTGCAGATACGCAGCTTATGGGGATTGGAATGCTCAGAGTCCCACCACTAATTCAAGTGACTAAGCTTGCTTTACCAACCTGTAACAGGGTAGCTTTTACCGTTTCTTGGTGGCCAGGATGCCGAGCCAAGGGTTTTCGGCTCCCCTAAACTGCATGTCTGAAAGCCATAGCAGGATGTTTAGTTTGTGGATATAAAAATCCTTTGTTCACTATCTTTCAGGACAGGCCGGTCCTAGATAGATGACTGAACCCCTTGTCAATCCTACTTTTTAAAGTGGATTGATATTACCTTATAAATCAAGGATGAGCATATGATTTATCGTAAAATGTTTCCGGACTGCCTTTCGGTATTATTATAGAACAGAGAGAAACTTTCAGGGAGCCAAAAGAATGAATACCGGAATGATAAATGTAGGTTTGGAGGTGACTAATTTTCTTACTCATCGCAACAACGACCCGTAACGTTTCTGACGAATATCCTTATTGCATTACGTCACTCATCCATTTAACAATTTCGGTTTTACACAGACACCTTGGAATCCTGTCTGTGATGGCTGAGAAGAAAGACAAGATACGTGTGCCGTCTCACTGAGATGGTTTCTAAGCCCTGTGACATCCTGTCGGCTACCGCACCCTTGTGCACGCATTTGACATGATT